GTTGCTAATTAAGTTTGCATAAGTTAAAAGGCAAGTACTTCAGAAATCCCAAGGCAAATGTATAAATGCCAGTCTTGTGTGAAGATTAAACAGCTAATGTGCATTATATACTGTACCTTGTTAGTTATTACATGTTAAACCGAATGCTGTTCTGTGATAAATACTATTGTTTGCACTCATATACGATTTAATAGCAAATTTCAATGCAGTGTATCATCCAAGAGGGGAAGTGATACTTCCTTCAAATAAAAAAACATAATGACCTACAGGCTTGGGCACTTTGGCTTTAAGTAATAGCATCTGATAGAGCATACGTGTCTGCAAAAGGCTATTACAGGTACTGCAGGAGTGAATAATTTCTCACCAATTAACTGTGTGGGGAAAGTCCAGTTTAGTCATGAGAAAATCAATGTGAAAACCTTTGTCTGAAGAACAGGCTTGAAACATGATCTCGTTTACATTTTACAACCTCTCTGTGGTTTCCTTGCTGTGAAATTAAAATTTGCCCCACAAGCTGTGAAGCATGCTATACATATTTGAATGTGGCAAATCATTTTTCAGCAGAGGTCTGTGCCTTACATCAGGAAGTAAAATTTTCAGTGTGGTGATTAACAATGTGTGCCTTGCCATTCCATAGAGCATGTAAGTATTTCTGTTCGATATTGTGTGCTGTTTGTCCTTTCCAAATGTCCCCAGTAAGGGACAGAGAACTTGATGTTCTGGATGGGGCCCTACTTGGGGTGCAGTCTAAGAACATGCCTCCTATAAGTTAGCATATCAGCTAGTCTATTTTAAACATGCCATGTTTAAATGCAGTCAACATCATGCCAAGCTGTTCCACACAACAGCTCCTGACCCTGTGTGTCAGGTGCTGCCTGTACTCTGGGTGCGACTGGTACACTTTTGGGAGTGTTCTCTGGGACAGTCCTTGGGATGCATGTGACTAATGTGTATTCAGATGTGATTGTGCCCCTCAGCCTTTGACTGTACGTGCTTAAAGATGAAAGTTACTATCAAGCCTCAGGCAAGTAGCATGTTGGCAGGAACAGTATATCTGCAGCCAAAACATGCGTTTCCTGACTTTGCACTTAGCTGCCTTAATTTGCAGAATTTTTACATTAAAAGTTAAATTACATTTTGTTACTGCATAAATCAATATTTTGGTTGGATGTTCTATTTAGGCACGTGTTCCTTACTCTTTTTTTTATGTGAGCTCCCATTTTTGTATATGGTTTTGTTGGACATTTCTGAAAAATTAATTAACATGTACAGTTTTTCTTATCACTCATCAGGATGTCCAACCAGGCCTCCCAGTATCTCCATAATTTATTCATAATTTCCCAGCGAAATATTTCTAAATATTAGAGCAAAGATTATTGTGGTACAAGAAAGAATGTCAAGATTTTATTTTTTCTCTTCATTGTATTGTATCCCTTCTATTGAGAACGTCTCTGATCTCGAGTACTATGACTTATGCATGCACTCCATGGGTTTTCTCAGGGCTTCTGTACCTATTTTGCAGAGAAATATTCAGGACATGGCGGTCTGGCTTAACTGCCTCCCACTCTGTGCCTATTCCCAGCCGCCCTGTCTCTGTGCCATGTTGCCTGGTCAAATTACAGATAGAACAGAACCTTGTTTTTAAGGAAAACGGGACAAGTCCCCCGTTACGCCCCACCCCCACCGCCCAGAACATCACAGGCAGTCGCGAGAGGTGGCGCACAATGATGTGTCTGTTCTTTTCTTCTTTTTTTTTTTTTGGTGAAAAAGGTTTTTAGCTGTCGAAAGGTATTAGGAGTTCTGTGATCTAATTTCTATTCTGCCCCATGGTAATCTTTCTCATTTGCAGGAAATGCCAGATTTCACTTGGCTGCCTATTGGGCTATGCAAAGTAACCAGATGTAGACTGGGCAGTCGCCGCTCTGGCTAGCTAAGGGGACAAAACTTTGAGACATCAGCACCCATTTAGCGTGTCTAAGACGCTGCAAGAGCTCATTTGTGTTTATTCATTGTGAGGTGCATAAATGTGGCATCAAATGCCTCCCTATCTTATCATTTCATAGCTGCACTTCAGATCTAGTGTAGCTAAAATCTTTAGGGTAATCTCTTTTACATAAATGGAAATGATGACAATGGAAATGCAGAGCTCAGCAGCTGTTCCACACAATATAGACTAAACATCAAACCAGTATAAAAAAAGCACTTCTCACTGCAGACTTCTTATTCATATTTATGAGATACATCGAGTGCTATGACTTTATTACGAGGCATTGGGCCTTTATGAGAAGTTTTCAGAACAACAGCTACAGACACTGGGTTGAGGCAGGATTGTGCAAACGAAAATATAGATTTACTGTGATAGTGCACTTTGGTTCTAAATGACTGAATGCTTTCTTCTCAAAGACAGATTTTTGTTATATTATGGTAAATCCCTTTGCATGAATATCTGCTAATGCATCCTTTGAAATAGAAATGTTTTCCTGGTAAGAAAGTGTTATGCCGAAAAGATGCTCTTCTGGCCCTTTTCAGCTGTTGTAGCTGTAAGCCAGCTCAGTTTACACTGCAGTGCCCTGAGGACATGTTGAGTACAGCACTGAGCCTTCAGCAGAGTACCACCTTGTCTCTCCTGAAGTCATGCGTAGTCTGTTGCAGAACTGTTGTGGTCTGGACAGGATGAGTGAGTAGCTGTTTGCCCTTGGAACGGTTTTCTCTCAGACACAACACCGGTTCCTGATTTTGTGTGTTTGGTTTTGTGGTCTGTTGCAGGGGTCATTCTGTGTTATGTTCTTTTGCTTCTTCACCATTTAGTCTTCAGTGCAGTGCTGTGTTCTTTGGAAAATGGAAAGTACACTGAAAGCCAAAGAGGAATATGCAACTCCTCTACACACCTACAGCTTTCAGTCCTCTTTGTGTCATGAAGTCCTCTTTACAAAGGAGGCCAACTTAACACCAGATACCATGGAGTTACCCAGCATTTAACTCAACATTTGTGGCATTCCTTATTAAATGGAAGCCCTTTCTTTTTTCTGTTTGTATTGCTTATTACATCCATGAAATGAATAATAGCCATAAACCAAAACAGTTCTGAGGTTTTGTAACTCAACTATTTAAATGTCAAGGCAGTCAAGTGATGTCATGAACAACATCAAGTAAGCAGTGTATCCTTCCTGAGCCTGAGTCTTTTCTCTGTGATGACTCTGTGGCCTTCGTTGACAATTAACAGTTGCTCATATCTGATCTGGTGTAGAGCCTACTTTTCATGTTTGAAGTCTTGCCTATCAAAGTGAACATCATCATTCTTCTATAATAAACAGACCTTTAGTTCGCATGGCTGAAAAAAGTGCTCTTGGTCCATATGAACTTCCTCTGGTTATCAGTCAACTGCTAATCCTGGAAAGGGGTAACGGCAAAACTGCTATTAATCATAAAACAGACCAGATTCATATAGCTGTGCAGCTGTTCTGTTAAATTGAATCTTTTCACACTATGCACTTGGCTTTCAATGTCATTGATGGTATTAATGATGGAATAAGGCACACTCTCCACAACTCTTCATCTGGATATTTACATTGTCCTGTTATTTCTGTTATCTGATGTCCTTCATCAGAGATGGGAGAGAGTGACTAAGAGCAGGGCCTCGGGCTACCCCTGACTCCAGTATCATGCCTGAGTCTGGGGACTGTTTCTCTCGGGTGCCTTTTGAAAGGGGTTGCCTGCTTGAGGTGAGGAGAAAGGCAGAGCACATTTGTGCTGCACTGCAGTGTTTTAACGGATTAGCACTGAGCTGGCAGATTTCGGTTGTCAGTTAGCCAATGCACTGTGCAGGGTAAATTAAGTTCTGGGGCATTTTACATTTGAAAGGAAGAAAGAGATATTCTCTTCAATAAGGAAAACTCCAAACCAATAACAGAGAATTTACAGTGCCCAAAAAATATGATTACACACATTGTATAAATTAAAGCGTACTGCTTTGATGACTTGGGGAATTGCTAGAATACAATTACTTGTCGCATTTTCAGCAATTTTAGAATTTTTTTAACATTGGGCAATAAATTATTTTTTCAAACAATTTGCATGTGGTATTAGAGGTGATATATTGAAGAGCATTTACAGTTTGTTCTTGTTCTCACCACTTTTGTACAGCAAAAGGTATAAAAAAGCTGCCGCTTCCCTTGTAACCTTTTTTCAAAGTCTATTGTTTCTATTAATTGAATACAATCACTGTTTTACAGTCGAAACCCGCCTTTCGTTCGACAGTTTCACTGTTGGTCTACCAAAGCAGATATGCCTTTAAATTAGCATAAGAAGTAATACTGGTTTCTTGTTTGTGATCAATTTAAAGAGGAGTTACTGTACTTCTCATAAGTGGATGGGCTGTAGCTTCAATGCTTTAACCATCTGTGCCATTTTTTGTTTTTTGGCTTCTGTAGTAGTTCTTACATAAATATATTGAATTCTGCTGTAGGAGTACTCTATACATAAAATAGATTAGAACATCCAAGAATGTAAATGTTTTTTTTACCTGTATCTACTGTATTTTTCGAAGAAGGAAGATGAAGTAATTCACTGTATTCTTGGGACACTGGCATTCTGGGGGAGGTGAAGCTGCCAACCCAGCAAAGTAAAGAAGTGTGAATTCTCCAATGTAGCTTTGTATGTCTGAACAGAGTGGGGTGGTGTACACCGCGTATACATAGTTTTCCCCAGGCTTCAGTAAGGCATTGACTGAAACGGAGAACAGTACAGTATTTTGTCACTGTATTATATTGTATGAGAACTGTTTTTGAGTGTTCAGGAGGTAGTCTTTGTCATGATTTATGTACACTACAGGGTTTGAGTCGTACATTTGTTTTGTGTATGTATTGAGTTTTAGTGAATGAAAAATTGTCCAGCACCACATAAAACCTTTCCATTCATAAGCTTATTTGCTTGCTGTTTTTGTCTCTGCTGAGAATAACTTGTCTGCAGACTAATCACTTTCTTTTCTTATTTGGTTAAAGGGAGCCGTCACCAAGACATAGCACACTGAGCAAGACAAAGAGCTCCTTGGAGAACGCTCAAGAATTGCAACTTATCTGAGAGCTGAGGGCGTCAAGTGGAAGAACGGGTACAGGCTATAAATTAACCTCCTAAACGGCAACTCCCACAGTAGCTGACATGCTGTTAATATTTGAAATTATTTTTAATAGCTCTTTTTAAAAGAAAATTCACATGACTAGTATAGCAGGTGTAACGACATAAAAAGCAACTCGAAAAATTAAATCCTTTACACAGTTGTTTTTAGCTCATGCCTTTTGAGATGTATGCCGTGAGATTCGCTCTCATCTAGCTACTAGTAAATGATGGTTTTTAAGGAAATGGAGTGATACTTTACTAATGTGATATTTCACTACTCCTATTTTAAGAATAGCTCACTGTTCCTGTAGTTCTTTGCTGTTTGGCTTTACATTGCTAACCAGCTCACACCAAGCTAATGAATGTTCAAACCAGACAGACCTCTTTATTTCTAAGCTTGACTGCTGCGTTATAACTGTCTAAACAGGACTTCACTTGGTCAAAAGCTGTATAATTAGAAAGTTCTTATTTACATAATGGAGCCTTTGTAATCAGACTATAATTGTGCTAAACTGAAGGTTTGAAAGACAACAGTCTCATAATATTGGATACTCTTCAGAAGGCTTTAGCTCGTATTCCTTTTAGAAACCTAATTTAGCATTTAAATGCATGAGTCTTTTTAAGATGTTAGGCCTATAGACCTATAGCGGTACATATGAATCAAATATTTATCATGGTTAATTTTAAATTATTTTGATAAATATTCCTAGCTAGATTTGTGTGGTGCTTTGAGACATTCATCCAGCTTTAAATTGCAAACGCAATGTATTTTTGGTTTTTGTCAGCTATAAATTAACACTTTAAAACTTTTTTCCTTGTTGGCTTACTTGTGAAAATGTAGATGTATTATTGTGATTTGTTTTAATACTACTTTAAGTTAATAAAATATTTATCACTTTTCAAATGGTCTCATCATTTATTTATAGCAGTTTCTGGTACTTGGCTTTCTTGCAATATTTTATCTGTGATAGTCTGTGAAGCATATGCATGTCTTTTATACCAAAGTCTTTCTCTTCACAGGCACAATAAAACTGGGGGCTGCAGTGATAACAGCTATAATATCAGTATATATATATTTTTAATTTACAAATTGCTTATTTTGAGGTCAATACCTAAGCTTCTATACCTGTACCCAAACAACTGATACATCCATACAAAAGGAGTGTGCAGTCTTGAAACAGTCTGTCAGTTTTAAAGTACTTCTTTTAAAAATAATCCTTGTTTCGTCTCTGTTGTAATACAACTGCCGTATAATTTCATGCAGGTCAGAATAACTTCACTGAAAAAGGTGTGTGAACAGTAGAATGTGTAAAGATGACAACAGAAGTCATGGACAATTAGAGGAAGATTAAAGTTGAGATCCTGTCCTGATGGTTTTAAGGTAAGACCCTTATAAAAGCATACTAGAATCAGCTGACAGGGCCTCAAGTGATACTTAGACCCAAAAACGTCTGGTGTATTTGACAAATCCAGGGATAAACAGTCTGTGATGAGTTGGTAAAGTGGCGAAAGTAAAGGTCTTGAGACGGTTCTGTGCACAAATGTGGAAATTTAAGTGCATTGGCTATTTAATTTAATATGGTCAGCTTTTAAAAGCTGGGTGTTAGAATCTGAATGGCAGCGCTGCCTGCATTAATTGTCCTCATGCTATTTTTCATTCTGTAAGCTCTTCCTCAACCAGGGGTTTAATTTATAGAGTATACACTATTGTCACAGTGTACAGTATCATACATTTGTATCACAGAAGAAAAAGGTTTTAAATGCAGTGTCAAAACCTGAATGTATATATTCTCTGTTCCTCTTATGTGTACTGTTGTGAGTGAGAAGAGTTAGTGACCAGGTATTGTTAGGACCTTGGAGCAGGTTAGAACCCTTATCAGGAGCATCAATCCATTTGAATGTACTAACAGCAGTCATCGACCCATCAACAATTCCTTGTAATTTAAAGTCAAAGCAGTACTGTATTGAAAGACTTCACACTGTACACAGAGTAGAAGAATGGACACTATCATTAAGCTTTTTGAAAGAATCAACAACAGTAATTATAACAAGTATACCTTTTACATACAAACAATCTACGTATACTGTACCACCCCTGAAAACCTACAAATAAACACACCTCTGCAAGTGAGTGAAGAAGTCAGAGATACAGATTTCTCTTTCATAAAGGTATTTCGAAAAGGTTTGGATTTGCCACACAGGATAACCTCTGCAATAATGATTGTTATAAATCATTGCTTTTTGAGTCATCTTATTAATTCTTTTTCTGATTGGGGATTAAGAAGTCTTTCTGACACAGTATTAATTTTGAGCAATTTAGGGTTTTTACAGCTTAACTTGTTTGAGCCTGTAAGCCAATATGGTACAGTGTACTGGCAAAGCAGTGAGATGGAGGCGTGTAGCTGCTGAAGTCATTTGGAAAAAAGCATAATGCTACTTTTCTAGCTCTGCTCTCTTACCAATGAAGTGCTGTGAGAAAGAATTCACGTAATAGATGATGTGCAAGAACTGTGTTCCCTTCAGATGTTTTGGAAATGTGATGTAGTACACACTGTGCCTGGGTTTCTCAATGTATTTCACAATATTTCAACCTGTTTTATTTTGACAAATTCTGTATTGGCCATGTTCACCGTTCACCACTGTTCTTCAGATGGGCACTGAAATAACTGTAAAACATTCTGCGTCTATCATGTTGATTAGCAGCTCCTAACAGTTTTGTTCTAATTTTCTAAAGCTGAGCCGCCTTCTCCTGACTTTTTTTCCATAAATGCATATGAATTCATGGATAATTACCAAATCATCTTGGTAATCTAATTGTTAACTCATGCTGTTTAGTAGAACTGCTCTGCTTTAGGACATGCTTTTAATTGTTCCTATTGCACTCAATATTTAATATGCAGGACATATCTTTCCCCCATTTAATGCAATAAATTACGTTAAAAAGTAATTCAAACTTGGAAAATAGTTATTTGAAAAATCAATCCAATGATGGACAAAACATCTGTTCTCGTTCAATTCCAGGATCATGATCATCCACATCAGCTTTGCTCCCTTTCTATGTAATTGACATGTGGACTTTGCATTGAAGTGATGAGCCGAAATAGAGGGCACTCAAGTATGAGGCACTGCAGTGTTAAATGGCTTTGTTTGCGTTTTTGAGCACACCCTATAGATGGAGGGTGATTCCTGTCCCGAATGGCCTTCCAATGGCCTTTACTAGTTTGCAAACAGCAAACTAGTAAACCAACAGCAAAGAAAGAAAATAATTTGATGAAAACAAAGATTGGTATATGAGTCTGCAATGCACAGATATTCAAACGGACGCTTACTATGTGTATCCTCAGACTCCTACAGATATTGAATTTTTTGTTTTGAATGTAGTACTTGATATGCTGTACTGTAGATGGAGAAGTATCTGTTGTCAATAAGTTAACCTTGTGCTTTTGTACTGCATTGATAAAGTAGTTTGATTTTCACAATCTGAATGAGGTTTCTGTTACACTTGGCTATATTGGGATTTATAAAAGCACAGTGATCATGCCTCTACTCTTAATCTATTTGGGTAGTGACCTGTTGGACAATGGAATGCTGTATGTTCTGTATACCTAGCTGTCCCAGCAATGACAAGAGCCCTATAGTTCAAGATCAAAGGCAGTTAGTCTAAACAGACAGAGCATGGCAGCGCTCAGACTGACACCTTGATAACCTCGGGATGGGAAACGAGACTCTTTAACCTATTGCACTGGAAATCTTTTGGGTCATTAAGGTCAGATTAAATGTGTAAACTCCCGTCAGACGTCACATATTTCTCACAGGAAAAGCAAGCCTACGGGAGAAGAACAAAATTGAACCAAGGATCCTGAACTGAGTTTTTAAGAATTGCTTGCTGTGTGTTCATGTTTTAAAGCTGGTAGTAGTAGCTTGCCTTTAAGTACAAGTATGGCAGTAAAAACCCATTTGGGTGCTGTTTCTGTTCTGCTTCACCTCTTTAAATGTTATATCAGAGCTTCATATTTTTTAGCACTGAACAATGGAGAGACATACAGTACATTAAACTAGATGAGACGCATCTAATTCCAAAAAAGGATCAGAAACAACCAAAAAGCAAATCTGGAAACAAGCCTTTTTTTGCACGACTATAGCCGCATTTTATATATTACGTTTATTTTCCCCAGACATCAGTCAGTACCGAGCTTAGTTGTTATTGATGCTGTTTCTCATTAGGTGCTGCTGTCTTGTACGTTTAGAGGCTTGGGAAGGATGAAACAGCTCACCAAAGACCGATAACGTTCCTGCCGCAGTGCAGTGGCAGGAACTGGAAACACTATCTTATGTGTGCATTACTGAATTGGGGAGCACACCTGACAAGGAATGAGGGAGATTTGCAAGACTGGTATTTTACTGAAAATATAAGAAAAACATATTACCACACTGAACACAAATTGTAGGTTTTAGGCAGTGGAGGAAAATTAAATGCCATACAAAATGTTGCTATCTCCGGATTACAAATTAAAGGTTTCTAAATATATGTAATTAATGTAAAGCCATTTCAGCAGTTTAAAATGCATATACACTGATCCTTGTTAATGCTGAGTTCAAAGTTACATGCTTTTCTTCACACCACCAAATACTCAGGAGTGGAAAATTAGCACTCAAAATCCTGATTGTTCCCAAGAGATGAACTTGTCCTGGAACATTTATTATCATTCTTCATATTCTTTTCTGTTTATTTTCCATTGACCAGCTGTAATTAAAATATTAAATTTCTAAACATCTATTCATGTTTTTTTCTTTTCATATTTTGCTTGTATGTGTAGACCACTCCTACTAACATATACTTTAGGTTAATATTAGATATGAACCTGCAGCCCAAATCTTTAAACTCATTTAAAACCTCTTGATGAGAGCTGCTTGGTGGCATGCTGGTTACCTCACAGCTCTGCTGTCCTGGGGGTTAATTCCAGCCTTTCTGTGCCTGTCTGTGTGAAGTTTGTGTGCTCATCCTGTCTTCAGATTCGTACTCATCTCTCAACACTGCACTGGCTATTTTTTATTGGCTGCTATAGATATATCCCCATGAGGTACAGGTAGGCTACCAAGCGCCCCATCTCATCACTTACCCATAAGCTGTATGACATTGGTTCAACTCTCTCCCGCCAAAACCAGTTCTAGTTATGGGAAGTGATTTTTGAGGGTGGCTGTGAGGTTCTGCTTTCCTAAAAGATATTATGGAAACGAAAGAGGCGGGTGTGTGTTTTGTATAGCACCTTTAAAAAGTGTTTCCTTTTAAAATAGAAGAACACTCTGCTTGTAAAGTTCTATCTATGTGGTAATCTCTTTGACAGATGGGAACAAGCAACAGAATGATAGCTCAGGGGTCAGAGTCCTTTTTCAGTCCAAAAGGCCATCTTTCATTAGTTCATGGGAATTGTTGGCAGGAAACGCAACTGCAACATCTGCTTCCTGAGATTCATGTGCTGAAGCCGAGGGAACACGTGTCAAGAAGAACATCCTGCTCCACTTGATGAAAAAACAAATCATCACGCCTCTTATTTCAGTGCTGTTTGCTTTTAATAACTTTTTTACGGACATAATACCACACTACATTTCAATAGAAAATGGCAGATGATGTTAAAGGTGTTATGGTTGTAATCCCAGGCCTAAGGCTTGATGATGTGGGAAAATTAAACTGCCTGTGCAAAATGGTACTTTTTAATCGCATTTTATGTGGAGTTATGCAATAACTTTTGTCAGGAGAATACCTGATTAGTAGGAACAGCCAGGTCTGTTCCTGTAGTTCTTAAGGTCGCTCCTAAACGCTTCTAAACAAAACTATAACAATAACACAAAAGCAGAGTTTTCACTCTTGAATTCTTTGGAATGTTGTTTATTACGGCTAGAATTCATGGTTTAGTCTGTTCTGCATGGAAACGATCACGTTAACCTTTGATATCACAAGCAAGACATAAGCAGCCAAAACACTGTGTAGAAAGGCACCATAATCTATAGTAGTATATAGTTTGATAAAAATAGTTTTGATAGAGACATGGAGAGATCAGCTACATTGAAAGGCAGCCTTCACATCTATTCCCCATCGTGCCATCCTGGATTTCCACCTTAGCTGTAAAAGACGTGAACTGGATCTGTCTGACGCCAGTAGTCTGTGACTGTGAAGGAGTCTCATGCCCTTGTTCTGTTGAGACAGAATCACTGTTTCCAGGTTTATCAGCAGCTCCTTGCATGAGAGTGATGCTGTAAAGTTGTTTATAACCGATTGGACAGTACTTACTGTATATTCCCCCTATACTTAATAGCTTGGCTGGCACTCTGTTTCCCAACAAGGTGAGGTTGAAACATGCCTCTGTGGGCATGGCGTTTGCTTTGAGCTATATTGTCTGCCTGCTGTACTTTCGCACTCTTCAATGAGCTGCTTTCGTAAAGCCAATCCTCCACACAATTACTGATTGGTGTAACTGATTTCAACTAAAGAATGTGATTTGAAGGCTTGCTAAGTTGACGCCAGTGCTCTCTTCACATATTTTTATGAAGGTTTGAAAAACATCATCAAACACTAGACACTATCCCTTAGTTACTGCAGAAGATGCACTTGGCAGTTTTCTGTATATCTCGTTCAATCTGTCATTATTCCCTTGTTCCAGTTTGTAACATTAAGTGGATCACACTTCTTTTTTAGTGAATGCTTATTGGTCCAGTTTATTTAAAAACTGTCAGCAATAAAAAGTAATTCACTCTCTGTTTATAACAGTATTTGATGAGTGAAACTGCACCCGAAGAAACTTTTGGAATTTAGTAAATTAACATTGTGACTGGGTTCTGAACCTTTGTTTGGTACAAATGTCTTTACCTGTTATTCCATTACAGAAAAAATCCTGTCATTCTCCTGCATTGCTGTTAATTTTACATTTTCAGTGACTGCTTCCAAAGGAATTTGAGAATGTTTTGTGAAATGTGATGCATACAAGTTTTTCCATTGCTGATAACAAAAACTACCTCACCTTTGGAACTAATCAATTGAAATTCCTTAAAACCGTTAACACAAAGACTGGAACCAAACCATTAAGGGAAACTTTGCTTTTAAAAAGCATATAGATTTGAGAATTACTGGAAAAAGGACACTGGGATAAAAAGTTTTTTAGGAGCAATATATTTTGTTTTGTCTATTTTTTTATATTAAGTTCTAGGAATTTTAATTTGAGCATGATTGTATTTTAATTTATTAGAACGCAACATACATGCAAACAGATGTAGGAAATAACACTACCAGAAGCTAATTCTGCCAAGGAAAAATATTTTGAAACAAGAGTTTAACATTGTTTTGCTCAGACCTCTGTATTGTTACAGACATTATCCGGATTTGACAAGTTATGCTGTCTGTATCAGTGTTTTTCTTGATGTTTCCTTTCACAAGAATGGCAAGATTATTTAAACTAGACTTTAAAGCAGTGTTGTGACATGTGCATAAAACACACTGTCAAGGACCTTTCATGTCATTCAACATAAAAAGTAACTGTAAAAACTATAAAAATGTTATGGCTTTTATGGCTGGCACATTGTTTCATTTGTGGAAAAAGGCAACAGTTTAGACTTTTTCAGTCCATGCTTTTCTTTCAACAAATAGAGAGCTAATTCAATCATAGCACCTGAACAGACATCTTTAATAATCAAGGTACCTAAAACAAGAGGCAATAATGCTTGACCACCTTCAGCTCAACAGGATGTTTCTTTCCAGTAAAAGTTCAATCCTATCCATATAATCTGCTTTTGGTACCACACTTTATACAGGCAATTAGCAGTCATAGCCTCTTTTTGCTAGATCGATTCCAATTTAGTACAGCCTATTCATTGCACTCTGGGTAGAAGGCGTTTTATTATTATTTAGTCATAATTTCATTCAATAATTATTAGTGCAATTAATTTACACTATATACAGTATAGCTCTATTCTGTTGGAATGAATATTGTCAGGGTGTCTCATTGAAATAAAATGCACTCACTGACCTGCCACTTAAACTTTCAGCAAAACCTTGGAATTTCCCAATCATTGGCCCAGTATGGTGACAGGGGACACTGTGTTGTAGGAGGTATCAGGACAGTTTCCTGTCTAACTTTCACTTGGGAATTGAACAACCTGGCCTCTTTAAATTTCCCCTAACTTCAATTGCTCAAGCAGTTCCTCGCTTTTCCTTTTGATCTGCTGTCTAGTGAATCTGCTTCAGTGTCTCACCCAAGCAGGTGCTGCACTTCAGGGGTGGATGAACTGGGTCCCCCCTTTATCTGCAGTGCCTTTACATCCTCTGGGCTGAAAACCTCTGAACAACTGCAAGGAAATTTTCTCCTGAAATATGATTCTTAGCGGTTCGGCTTTCTTCATTTTCATCTAATGTAGCAGAATGCGGCTACTATATAAATGTAAAAAATGGAGCTAGTGAACAAGGGCAAGGATCGGAATGTACTCCTACATTCCATGTTTTTTTTGCCTTTGACAAAAAGCAGAGTGTGGGGTCATGTAGTCCTCACAGATACATTTACAGAGGTAAATATTTAATCAGTGACTTATTTTGAAACTAGATGGATCGCTTGCAGTCCAGTATTTTAAATTCCACTCCACTGTAGTCTGGTTTTCGGTTGCAGTGTTCCTGGGGAAAGAATTGCCCCTAAAGCTTTTGGTGTATTAATGTACTTCATCAGCTTTAGTATGGTTTGTGTGTACTAAAAAAGTTAGATGATACTGTGTTTAAAAAATTCGGTTAAAAGCATTTGGTTCCCTTCATGGGCTAGCATTTTGGCCGTTTGATGTTGGCAGTTTACAGGCTGTGTTGACAGTGGGGGGCATGTGTGGTTGATTTGAAAAATAACACTTGTCACCCAGTTCATATTAAGCTATGACAGTAGCTCAGCAGTGTATTTTGTCAAATTAGAGCCAGTGAAACGAATCAATCAATAGATCAAAATAGTCATTTGCTGTTTGCTTTACAATTATTTTTAAACTTAGCGCTTAGTTCCTGCTGCATTACATAGGTTTATATGGATAATTTACTGTGAGAAATTAACCATAGAATTTTCATACTTTTCAAATGGTTTTATACTTGTTTGATTGTGGACCTTCTATGGTTTCCACTGATTTCAGAGTAAATCATGTCTAATCCATGATAAATGTCTAAAGCATGTTACTACAGGGTGTAAGTGTGAAAGCGTAGTGAAGCCCCAGACAATTCATAGTGACAGTAAAATAACATCCTGTGGCAAATGCACCAGGGCAGACTGTCATAAGGGTTAAATCCATATTGTTTTTGCGCTGGTAACATCCCCCTTGCTGTAAGAGATCTTGCAAAACAGCTTTTCATTTTTTTGGAAAGTATTTTTTTAGGTGACAAATGATCTCAAACTTGCAAAACAGGAGCAAGTGGAAATTCTGTCATGCTTAAATGTTCGTGCATTAAAAGGATGGGTGCCAACAGCGCGTATTAATGTCACTTAATTGCCATGGAATGGTACCTGTAATCTTTTTCTCTGAATTAATTAGCCTTGGAGGCAGCACTTGCCCATTGTTTTTTCATCAGAGGTCTGTAAAGATCCCTGATACCTGTGCCTATTCATTGCTGGCAGCATGCAGTAAGGATATGATAGGACAGTCTGCACATGGATAAATATATCCATGAACAGATATTTTCATGTCATCATGAAATGTCCAGGATAATGTCCTTTAGGTTCTCAAATGAGTATCAAAGAGTAGTTCTGGTACACATGAGGCTGTGCTAAACTATCATCAATCTAGCAAAAAGAGATTATAACTGCTGATCGCCTGTTTAAAGTGTGTTACCGTATGTAACTGTGAAATAAAACCAAAAGTACATAAAACTATGGATGGGACAGAACAATAAAAATAAATAAAACAAAGATCAAGAGCAACAGTGTTCTAGATATTGTTTCATCTGGTGAGGTCTATAGGGTTGAGGAAGGTTATAGTGCCTTTCAGTCACATCTTTTTCTGTTTGCAGTCCACCCAGATTGCTTTTGCATCTTCATGTTCTTCGGATTTTTATGGTTTGCTATACATGTAAATCTTTCAAAACCTAGCAGTGGTCTAGTATCGTCTTTAATCCACCTTCAGATTTGTCATTTGAGACATTCTGTAGCCAAAATAAACAGAACGATGAGGACGTTCAAGCAGGAAGAAAGAGTTGGACAAAAAGATTAATTAAAAAAAATAAACAAAATGTTAGGAAATATAGTTAAAAGTGTACATATTAAATCAAGAGGGGTTATGTTAATGTACTTCAGATCACCATGTTATAGAGAACATTCATTCAAGGTATTAGCACACTAGAATTGCACATCTTAATCTTAGGTTGTGTTGTCCTGTTTGCTTTAGTGTTTCATTTTGTCCTATATTACTATAGCTGTAGTATATATACTAGCAAACCTAGTAAAATCAAAATGAAAACAGCTTAAGACCAAGTCCTAAGTGACACGTTTAAATGATTGTCCTTTCCCCATCATAACAGCAGCATATTTTGTGAAAAGAATTATATTTATCAGGAATGTACCAGAATATATGATATGTATTCTCTGGTAATCCTTGTTTTCACATTTTTGAGATCACACTAAAGTCCTTTAAGGACAGTGGCTTGTTTTTGGAAGCGAGGCTGCGTTTCGTGTTAGTACCCATTGTCATTTTGACATGGCTTAGCACATAAAAGTCTGTTTTTTTTATTTAAAGGCAACTCATGTCATTTTTGAGTGAAAAGCATACCTTGTCTTAATGATGTAAAACTAATTGTGCATGATGAAATCGCCAGAGCAGGGACTCATTAGAGTGCAGGGATGTCAGGATATGTGCAGGGAACTGGAAGAGACCCTGTAAGGGATCAAAGAAAACAATAGTAATTACCCCTCATGCCCAGGAGAGTCATTCATTATTCTACAAAATGAACATTTGCTATATTAGAAAAATGAACTAGCACTTTTCTCACCAGATAAAACCCACTTAGTTTGAAGTCTTCTGTGTTTTTTTTTAGCCTTACCTTAGTGAGCTATACAAATAATGTTAATCTCTTTGAAGGTGAAATTCGATTTAGAGTCTTGAATATATTGTAAACAATGTACTCAATTTATATACCGTGGTGTAAAATATTTGACATCACTCTCATTTTGGACTAAAGTCATTATTGCATCAAGCAGTGTAGCCGCAACATTACATCAACAACTCACATTCCGTAGCAATCCTATAGAGAACGTCAGGACAGATTTTAATATACTAGTGAACCAGCTAAGGAGTATTGGAGACTTTGTTCCCGGGAAAATGGAACTCACTTTTATAGTTGAGACTTAGTTTGGAGAAAGAAAGTCCAAGACATCCTAAAGAAACAATTTCAGGAAGGTACTAATCCCGTAATCATTTATCAACTAAATACTTTTCACGGGGCTGTGCTTCTCAAGATGACTTCCTAACTTCAATTTCAAAGGGTGTACAGTAGGACTTGTTTTTCTTTCTGCGCTTGACACCCTGAAGCTGAAAGCAGAGGCTTTAATCACAGAATAAGTGGAGACAATGAGTGGCTTGATGCAAGTGAGGGAAAACCTCATGTTATCCACATGAATGCAAGAATCATCACCGCTGCCTCAACATTTGTAAAGCTCCTGTACCTTTGAAATGCTTAGTGGAGAGATTCCTGCAAAGGGGCCAATTATTTTGTTTACCTGCATTCTAGATACAATTATGAAGGAGACAGATGAATCTCTCTTGTATTCCATGAGACAGTGTAGCAGCTTGAATCATGCCAGCTTTGAGCAGTGGGCAGTACTGTCTCCAGAGGGTTGCTGCATGAAAAAATGTACACAATATCAGCAGGCCGGTTCATGTTGGAAAATTGTTGATCATATGTGCAGCTACAAATCATGAAGGGAACGCCATGGACCTTTCCTCATTTTGATTTAACAGTTTTAATATATATATTTTTAATGCCTCAATGTTTTGGTTGAGGCCATTGTTTGTAATATAAATGTGAGTCATTTAATTTTTTGAGGATTTGGAGATAAAAGGAAGGGTGAATATATTTATACTCACATATGTGAGAACTTGCCCTTAATCTGTGCTTGAAGTTCGTAACGGTGACACTGTATTTGGTAGTGGGGTGATGCAAGTGATTTCTCAAGATGCTGGCATGTTTTCTGTGCATGTGGGAATAGAATATTTTATACTACCCTTCCTTGATCTAGGTGAGTTGTTGCCGATTCCCATAGGCTTCACAGATAATTGGTAGTCTTGTGTCATACAGTATAAATAAAACCACTCTTAACAGAAAAATAATTGTTCTATATTTACTGTTGTTGTGCCTTATTGGAGATAGTCCTTTTAACACCACAATTTAAAATTGGTCACGATATGCTTTTGAAAAAAACCAAAAAAAAACATTTCAATCTAATATTTCAGACTGTGTGCTGTGAGTCACATAGTTTATATATGTTTGTTCTGGAAAGAGAAACCCGTAACCTTTTGACAGTGTAAGACTTTCCAAGTAAGGTTCCTTATACTACTTCCATTTTCAGATTGCAAACAATAACTACAGGTTGGTTTCTGTGGTTTGTTGATAAGAAAGCAATTTTATAGTGTATCGCCCTGGCAACCACCAGTCAGGGGCCACTCCACAATGAAAGAGTGCTTAACAACTTGGACTTTAAAATTCTTTCCTATGTGCCATATAAATTTCTTTGCTATTTTAACAGGGACAGTGTGTTTGAACCACGGCCTCCTCCCTGTACTCCTGTCTTGATAAGATCTATGGCTTCAGCTATTTCTCTAGCTTCAACAAGCTGACAGGTTTACAACATCACACCTCAATGCTATTATATATCTACAAACTGTACATTTATTTTTAATTCATTTGAGAACTGAAGAGACTCCCAATGTAATTCCTAAAACATCCATCTGGACAGATACAATGAAGGTGTTATCAAAGCAATTCTGTTGAAGTCCAAGTTTTTTAAAAAAAAGTTAATACAGTCACAAATGACTGAAGACTAAACATTTACAGAAATACTGTATTACAATTCATTGTAATTCAAGTTTTTCATTTAGAGCATTGGATAACCTGAATTAAAAACTTTGTAGAAATATTCTTAATAAGATGTGAATCCACAAATTATATACTGTATTAGCTTACCAACACCAATAATATTTAAATACTTTTTGAATAATTTTTTGAGAACATTGCACTTAATATTTTTTCTATGAGCCCTTATTGCTTTCATCAAGGTTGTGTCAAATAGAATACAGTATAATGTATCGCTCTTATAATCTCATTGATTGTTGAACCAAATGTGAATGTCTTTTCTGGCCACAGAATTTAATATGCTATCTAATCTTAATTAATGTTTCACTAGATATGTGGCTTTCAGAAGGCCTGTATCAAAGGTGTTTTAGAGCCTAACAAAAAGCACTGCTTTCACCTGAGCTGTCAAAGGCTCATTTTTGTTACTGATAATTATCTATGTTAAATGAACCATTCAATTCTGTAGATGTCTATAGGGGTTACAGTCTTCAGGGGAGATTTGGTGTATGTACGATAAGTTTCATGCATATATTATTTTATGTGTAAATGCAACCAGTATTGTTGAAAAGAACAATAACTTGATACATTGATTTTCTTTAGGAAATCATTATTTTGCTTAAAATTTTATTTTGCGCTGCTTTTGAAGATTTCAGACCTCTAACAAGTACTCACAGTAAATATTTTCAGACAGATGGCTACCACCTCTTGATGATCAGGTGCTGTTTTGTGTGAGTCTACAGGGATAACTTGTACTGCGATCACTGAACAATTAGATCTGTGAGCTGCTTGTCTTCTGAAACTGCCAGATGCTAGTTTTCATCCACAGTTTTGAGCTTCAAACTCTGTGAATGGGAAATTTCTTTCATTTAACCCCTATTGCTCATTCAATTCCACTGATACAAATTTCTTTAATCTCTCTGTTTATACTGATGGCACTATTAATATAACCTTTTGAAAGCTTACAACTACTGTTCAAAGCTATTTCTGCATTTTGGCACAAATATTTTAATTATATTAATTGGTGGGTCCTCTTTTACATTTGAACCAATTTCAATATGGATGCTGAGTTCCATAAAAAAGATAAAGATTTTGGTAATGAGCATGTATTTTACAGGAAAATGTATTATCTATATAAAATATGTAAATCAATTATTTTTAATAATCTAAACTGACAAGACATAATCCTCATTATTAAATTTCTAAAATGAAACCATCTTGATCTCATCCTATAAACATATATTGTATATAGTTAGTCTGTTTACACAGTATACTTCAATTTTGTTAAATCATTATTAGGAAATGTAGATTATGTTGATATGAATAGGCTGCTTCTACAAAAAGATGAAATGTTCATTTATTCCCAAATCTAGGATGACCTTTTAAGTAATTCTAGAACTTTCAAGTTCTGTTTTGTAATTCCTCCTGTACCTGACAGGACGTGATAAAAATGCATATATATAGCAAGTAAATGTGACTTATTGATCACAGCAGTTAGAAAATGGATGGATGGATTAAGTGATAGGCGAAATGAGGAACTCAAATCCACATCTTATTTAGGTTATAAACTATACAGATGTTTATACACATTTGTAATTATAGTACATAGCAATAGGATTACTAATCAGTCTGAAAATACAAGCAAACAGAATGATTGTTGTGCAAGCTAGAATTATTGAAACAAGTTTGTTGACATTTTTATATAATGGGTGGTGAGGTTTCCATCTTGTCTGCAGCTATGATTGAGCAATGACACTCATTATGCTGGGGGAAAGGCCGGTTAACACACACATTCCTGTACGCTTCCTTTCCATCAGGATTAAATAGAGGGATAATTTATAGGGGGTCTGAAGTAAGCAGTTTGGAAACTGATCTCTGGCCAAATTATATCAACATAGCGAAATCACTGCATGCAAGTCAGGTGTTAATAATTGAGGTGACTCTGCCATTAGTTCTGTACATCACACTGGAGAGAATGGGAGGCATGGCAAACAGTGACCTTTAGATAGAAATGGTAAAACAGGGGACTTCAGGCGCTGTGACGAATATGGATCAGAAGTTCCACTTGGAACAAGTTAGAGACTGACCAAGCAATACCTGGATAGTGGCTATGAGACTCAGTATTATTTCAGACAGCTGATAGAAAAAAGTCAACTTCAAAGAATGTGTGCTTCTCCTAGTCAGACTAAAAGGGCAAATAATAACTTTTGTCTTTATAAAACAGTAATTTTACAATGTAGCTTTAGCAGCAACAAATGTAATCTTCAATACCTGACACTAACACCTTATCATCAATTATAATGACCTCAAAATCTGCTAATAGTGTCAATCACTGTACTTAGTTATATTAATTAAAAGAACAATGTGAACAAATACCCAATTACATTGTTATGCAAATGCTGTATGATCTATAATACTGCTCTCTTATTTTAAATTCTGTCAGTCACTGTCCTATACAGACATGTAGAAATAGTTAACATTGCATATTTCAGGACTTTGAAGCTTGGTTGTTTTCCTGTGTTTGTGTGTTTCTGTGATCTTAAAGAGGGGGTTTTTAAGTTTCTCAATTTTCCAGCCAACAATTAAACTTGGTAATCCTGTGTTATTTTACTTTGCTGTTGGTGCAGGTTCCTTCCTGTTTGGTACATAGTGTTTTCATGAACTCTGCACATGATAATGCCAGTGCCTGTACAGTTTACCATGCTTTCCATGAGCATTCTGAATTAGCTGTTTCTTTCTATTCAGGGCAGATCCAAATTTACAAAACTCTCACGTTTCAAAAATAAAACCCTTTTACAATTTTACCTAAAATCTAAAAATCTGTTTTCCCGTGAGGGTATACAGTACTTTTCAAACTTGCAAGTGCCAGTTGTGGGTAAGGTGAAAGATGCCTCCTTCATCACCCTATAATTAGAAATGCTGCCAACTCTTCAGGTCAGAAATACAAACTTTAAGAAAATTAGAACTTTAATCCTCTAAAATGAAAATATGCAGTGAATAAAGAACGTACTTTGTGTTGAATATGAAACAGCAGTGGAATTAGCTGGCTATTTGCCACAAATGTTGGCCCTGTACTTAAACCTGTCCTTAACCCTTCATTTTTTGCGATTCTTTTCTTAATGTGATCATATTATAGCATGCATAATCTCATAATGGTCAGAGAAAAGGTAGAACAGTTTTACTGACAATAGTAAAATCTTTCTGTAGTATCACATGCAGTATGGGGTACACACAACCTTTTACTTACCTATTGTTGACAAATAGCTCAAACTATAGTCTCTAGAACTCGCTTGTATAAAAGTACCAGCTAAATAATTAATCAGACTGGATAGTGAATATTACATACACCAGTGTTTTTTTTTTAATCTTGTTCATTCCACTATAAGGGAGCATGCTGAAGACATAAGAGTGTGATTCACTTTTTGGCAAGTGTTTTCATAATCTTATGTTCCCCACCAAACTCATTTGTGGTGTACTATTTTTGCACTTAACACAAAACAAAACGTTTCGCAGTTTGCATTTAGCCATGTTCGAAGGTAAGGGGTAACCAGAGCCTTCAGTATCACTTTCATTTACTCCAGGCCTTTCTTCTGTTTAATGCTCTGTGTTATGTGGGTATAGAAACGTCAAGGTTTTTTTTCATGTGGCATAAATTTGAATGATCCATGACATTTTGACTGCATGGTGCCAGTTTTTCTTTATTTTAGGAAAGGACTCTATACCTTCCTAAAGGCTGTAATCTTATAAAGTAGAATCGCCAGGTATTTTTTGTTGAATAGGTAAGTGTGTGTTTTTCATGTCTATGTTTGATGCAGAGAACCCCAACACCGCACACAGGGGAGAACAAGACTCCTCCCACCCACCCAGCTTTGAGCCACTCATTTTTTGACACATCACTAGCAGCACAGCCAATCAGAGAGGAGACGCATTCCTCACTGACAGCAATGCGTGCTGTGCAAGTGCCCAGGTGATCACAGGGGTCACTGCGTTTGCTGAGAGCCCAGAGACCTCTGGCCAACTTAGTTGCTCAGCCATTTGTGAGTCATTACTGGGGAAATCAAGGCCACAGTTGACTAGTGACATGACCCAGGCTCGAACCCATGATCGTAGAACTTAACGTGGTCTTGAGCAAACATCTTTCAAGTTGTAATTTTGAAACTCAAACTTTCTCATTTATCATAAACACTGCAGTGATGTTGGTATAACGCTTTAATGTTATAAACATTAAATAAGTACTTGTATCATAAATGTAATACACAATTCTTCTGGAAATTCTGCAGGTTTTTTTCATTTCAAATGTCTGTGCTTCAGAAAAGGTTGGGTAGGAACCTGGATACAAGTTATTGCTTTACATAGACCTCCCCATAATTCTAAATAATTTAACAGTCTCATGCATCAGTAGACTGAAGGTATGACTCTAATCAGACAAACACAACGGTGCATGACGTTCTGGGCGCATAAAACATCAATGTGAAAAAGAATGAAATGGAATGAAAAACACAAAAACTTCGATGTTACAAAATCCTTGTAAAAATGATTAAATAAAATCCATTCTTTTAAAGCTACATGGAATAACAAATCGGTTAAAAAGCTTTACTAGCTTGCCAGAAAATAGAGTTGTATTAATATCTACAGAACTTCACAGATTGATCGTGTCAAGTTCATGCATTGTTGGTTGTAACATAGTCACTCTTCCTGTACGTAGGTTATTTTAAAAGGCGATGCATGCGTTAAAAACACTAACTCTTGGTTATGTTTTTTTCTACAATTTGAAATCGTGTTGACAACACTATCGTCGCAATGTCTTTTTAGCGCGCATACAGTGCACTCGTTAAGTCTCTTTATTCTACAGATATTCGTTAACACCTGTTCGTCTCACTTCTGAAGTACAGATCAAATGAGCACATGTATAAATCTCCACTATGTAACCCACTGGCCAGCACTTCATACAGTACCTACCATACCGCGTAGGACACTTAACACTACTGTTCACAGGTGCACACTTCAGTGATAAAATACAGTGCGTATCGATCTACCGGTTAAATCAATACTTTCTGTGACATCTTGTTAATAAATTACGCGTGCAGTGTTTTAGAACCAGTATGTTAATATTGTTTTTCCTCTTTAAATATACTATTCCCTGAGTAAATGGGTAACGGTTCAGACTTTTTTAAACCAAGGATTCGCAGACAGGTGTTATGTCCGAGTCCTGACTGTGCATAGAACTTAGTCCAGTGTCCGAGTCCTCGTCGTTTGTACCGCACGTCTTGGAGAGACCCCTTGCCTGTTCTACCCACCCGCTGTGTGTGTCCAAAGGAGGCAACATTTCAGTCTCGGTTATCACCGGGCTGCTCTCAAAACCATCACCCGCACTTTCGGATGTGTCGACCTCCTCCTCTATATCCAAGGTGTCCACTTTTTCCACCAGGTCCCTCAGTTCTTCCTCTTTTGCATTCCATCGCTCCTGACTAAGGTCCAAATCACTTTTAATAGCTTCCAAATCGGTGTTCAGCCTCAGCCCGATATACAGGCTCGTGTCTAGCTGAGTTTTCACTCTTTCTTGCTCCAAAAGCAACTCATTCTCAGGTGAGGTGTCGTCTGCTGCCGAACCTGTTACTGTCGCGTCTGCAGTGAAGACGGTGTCAGTCTCTGCTAAACTGCTTTCTCCCTCCTTGTTTGTGAGCGCTTCCTGGCGTCTTTTCATCCACCTCTGATTTAGCTCCTCTTGGATCTCGGCAGTAATCCTGTCCATCAGTGCCTCCTGCTCTTTAAGTTGCTCCTGCAATTGAATAACTTCTTCACACTTCCTAGCATATTCCTCAAACTGGGCAAAAGCTGCCTCGGAGTGTGTTTTGTTACATTCGACCTTAGAATCTGCTTCCAAGCTCGTATCGACTAAGTACGTGTCCTGCACATAATTGATTCCATGCCTTTTCATTCTGTCGAAGTGAACTTTAGCTTCGTACCTGTCAATCTCCCGGTCCAGTTCTTTTATCCGCTGGATTTGCTGACGAATGGTGTGATCTTGGGATAAAACCAGGTGCACTAAGGTTTCCATCTTTTCCACGGAAGAGGTATCCTTGGATAGTGCCTCTTGCCTTTTCTTGTTAATTTTATCCAATTTTCTAAATGCCTTCCTGACAATTCGACGCTGTTTGTCTTGGGAAAAAGCCATTGTGACTCTCGCAGTTCCTTTATATATGCAAGGGCTTTGCTTACTGAGAACGACCCGAGCCTCTGCGCTCCTGGGTCCGTTGTTAGGCAGAGACGCTTCGTTTTTCACCAGCACAAACCTCACATTCTCCTGCTCTTCTCCCCATGCGGTCCAGAGACGAAGGATTTTAGTCTTGTTCGGCAAAATCCTCTCAAAACCTCTCCACTTCTCCACTATGCAGTAAGATTGAGGTGAACCTGACAACATTGCCGCAGATACGCCTTGCTGCAGATTCTGGTCCTCCAAAAGCACTTTAATCACGTCGGAACAGGTAGTGCGCCTGGACAGTCCAGAAACTAACTTCTCCTCTCGGCAAACCCACACTGATATTTTACATTCCTCTAGATCCATTTTCAACTTAATAGTTGATGCAGTTATTGTAGAAAACTGTTGTTCTCTTTTTAGTCACATATAAAAGAGACCTGTTTCACCGAGTCCGGTTGAATATGCAAGTCCCTTTCGAAAAGACTTTAGAAGGAGGTTAAAGAGTTTGTTAATGTTACTAATGTTGCATTACCTGCAATTCCAAAGTTAATTTCGACTTCATATCAGAATGTTCCCATTCATCGTTTCAGTGCTCAGTTGCTCGACGTGGTGGTATTTACTGAAGTGCATCACATTTCGCCTTAGAGATCCTTTTCAAATACTGTGCAGGCTGCCGGAATCGCGTCCGCCCTCGCTGTCAGAGCTGACTGGTGTATTCAAATCAACCCGCAGCACTGAGCCTCTAGCTTTCCAGCCTGCACTACTACTAAGGCCGTTTTTTTCCATGGTCACATGACACTTCTTAAACAATAAGTTCTTAAACTTCCCAAATAACACCGCCCATCTCTCTTGGGGGAAAAAAAAAGTTGACAGTACACTTTAAATAGTAATTTGAACCATCTATTCATGTCGCATACTTGTATGTGTTACTAAATACATTCCCAACTGATTTATGAGTTATATTCATATGCGGTTCAAGCCCTTTTGTTTTACGAACTCCTGTATAAGCTGTGTTATCTGTTTTTTTTATAAGACACTTCTGTGTTGAAGAATTTAAGATGGAAAAAAAAGCTCTGGTCCACAGCATTGGAACATTATCAGGCTTTTAAAGTCATTTACATAGGTTTTTGAGCAGAGATCCTTTAGGTTACATGAAAAAGTAAAGGGATGGGGCTCTTGATAAAAACAGGTTATTCCTTCCCAAACTGTATGCCTTTCCAGAGCTTTTAGCACATCAATTCCCACAGAAAGGCTGTCATGGAAGACACCCAAAGTACTGCTCAGGGAGTAGGGCTGTGAATTGAAAGGAGGAAAGAGAAAAGGTGTGGTCTGAAGAAACAGGGCTTGCTTCGGCCTGGTTTGAATCTGCCTTTGCTTTCAGACAGTTATCCATTCCCTACAGCACTGCAGAACTATACTATGTGACACATTTTGCATCAAAAATGTGTTTTGTCTTAACGAGTCTGAAATCTGCAGAAAGGTACCTCACTGAGGCTGCACACATGGACAAAAAGGTCAACTTTCATGTCCACACTGACATTACATAACATACCACCACAGTACACAAGAAAGGTTACAAACCAGCCATTCCACCCGCTTGGATGGTTTAGTAGTTAGCAGTTAATTGAACCCAGGATCTCATTCATATGTTTCCTGGAAGAAGCTAGGGTATCAGCAGCTTGTATAAGATGGCTAAGAGCTTCTTCCACACTCCTACAGTATGGAACTTGGTTTAGACTGTACCTAGGCTCAAAGCTGATGCAAAAGACTACACTGAACGGCAAAAAGCAGAATACTGAATGTCCATTTCGAAATACAATTTCATAGCTCATTTTTGATCATGAGTATAAGTTTCCTTTCTGAGCATTAGAAACAGTTAGGAGCAGCACTCCTGGTTTAAGGACAGAGGGTGAGTGAGAGAGTCTTGTGTGTTTCCCAGGACCCAGCATTGTTTACCCTTTGTGGGAAAACATAAAGACAAGCTTCTTTTTAATATAAAAGGAGCCCTCCAGGCTGAGAAGATTTTTACAAAATTCTATTAGAGAAGTGGACCGCAGGCAGGTGCTGTCTCATTGACAACCCTGCCTCGCCGATTCCATTTTCAGTTCATTTAAAGGCCATTTTTCCCCCCAAAACAGAAATGTTTGCCCATGTTGTACTGCACAGCCACGAGATGTGGTTCTTAGATGACAGCATAAGTATTTTAGGCTCCTGCATTAACTCATTTTGTCATCTGTGACTTTCTAAAAACCCTTTACATAAGAAACAAGATAGCAATCCATTTCACAAACATGATGTCATTAACATACATGAAAGAGCTCTTGCTTTGTGCATATGACTTTTCAGTTTTTATTTGGCTTACTTTAAAATGATTTGGGGGTGTTTTGATAAACAAAATCCTGCTATATACAATACACCACTAGTAAAACACTTTAGATTAAAAGAGTAAAAGATCATCTTCTCCCTTCTCATACATTTCGCTTAGTGTTCAATCAAGCATGTGAAAGACAGTTTCTGTGTGCTGTTTGAAAGGAATGGCTTTAAAAAATGTTCATAGCTTATATTAATATATATATACAGTATACCAATAAAACAGCGCATCTACAATAATTCAAATCTAGTTTGGGATACTGTGAATACATTAACAGAATCACATAAACACATTTTGCATATCCTTGAAGAGTATATCAATATTAATGGCCTTAAAACCTCTGAAAGACTGTCTATTGACAATGAATGAGCGACAATGAATACCACACCTATTACTCTTAACTCTGTATGCTAACTCATTGTTTTGTGCTCAGCTAGCATGTTATATATATAATATGCTAAGATCTGTCTTCTAAAGCATGTAGAAGCATGCTGCTGCTTTTCTCTAATAAACAATAGTTTTATCAACAGTACTCACCTGTACTTTCCCAAGGTATTCCCTGAAAACAACATACTGTTCAGCTGTTCCTTTTTAAAATACAAATAGAATAAAGACATAAAACCTTTAGAACCTAAGTAGTGTGGTCTTTGAAGATCTAACTATTACTTAAAGGTCTAATAATATAATTGTATGACTTTTTTATCCAGGATATTTTAAATTAATATAATTCATATACCTAAGTGCTAGTACGCTAGTACACTTAAGGACTCAGCATTATAATGTAAAAAATTACTTCAAGTTACATTTAACCATACAGCGTATACAACATTGAATTATATACAATGACATCATCATGCTGTTTAATGACATACATCTGTATGACATTCATTTGTTTAAAGTATTACAAAAATAGCTGAATGTGCAGTTTTAAATATAGAGAGGTAAAAAATCAAAAGACTGTGAGAACACACAGCCTTGTAACCTGTGTGGGTTCTGGACTTCATGAAAGTCATTGAACAAGTAGGGAGGAAAACTAGAAATGTGATGAAGCTGTGGTTACTGTATCTAAGGCCAAATTCCTAAAACAGAATTTCCACTCATTCTAAGAAGAAGGAGGCAGTAAATTTGTGTCACATAAATCTTGCACAATGCTAACTGCAAAGTCCCTGTAGGCAGTTTAAGTGTTTGCTTTTGTAACATTAGGAGTCTGTTTTTTCCTTTTTTATATAAAATGTGTAATTTATGCTTTCTTGGCAGAGAATGTTTTCCCCGAGATGATCGGTAGTTTTTAAGATTTTAAAAGGACATGCCCATGCCTTTGAAAAATAAAGGGAAAAAAATCATTTTCTTTGATCTGCATTAAATGTTGTTCAATATCATTTGCTACCACAGAGCATGCTATTAAAAAACTTTTAAGAAAATAACTGTTGAGATCAGAAACCACAACTTATTTTAAAAAGTCAGTGTTTTTATTAAAGTTCCATTTGATATTCTACCTATTGTTCATCACTCCATTCTAACACAAAAACACAGATGTGAAGAATTTATTCATATGCGATTGTTTTCATTTTGTTTTGTTTTTTCAGGTGGGAAGTTATTAGTGTATGATTGCTGTACAATAGGAAATCTTCATTGTAGAAGTTAATGTATACATTTTATGAATGTTAGCCATTGCAGACTTTTTATTTTAGATTTATTTTTTACTTCGGGAGTTCACACCTGTACCACAAGCTATAAGAAGACACTGTAGAACAAGTTTGAAATAATGTGCACTTCACTCTGACATTTTCTGATAGGTATATTGAAACATCACAACAGTTGTCTACTGCACGAATAAAGCTAAAAACAAGAACAACTGTGATTTAATTTGAGAAATATTTTTTGAGAAACAAGTTATGACAGCTGGACTATGAAATACTGCATAAAGCGCAGATATTCTGATACAGAACATTACAAAATAAGGTTGTTTTCAATAGCTGTCAAGTTACATGAGTTGAGAACAAATACTTGATTAAGGTTGAGTTTTGAAACTATTTTGTTGAGCATGGTACCCTCTTGTGTCCACCTTAAGTACTGCGCCCTCTTGCTCTTGGTTTTAACATGACAGAGCATCTTGAGGAAATAACCCGTTATAAAATCAGGTTTTAATAAATTAATTGTAATTTACACGAATATATTTAATATAGTCCAGTAACATAAGCATTAGTATGCTATTAGTATGGTGTTTCAGTCTATAAATCAGGGCTGCCCAACTCCAGTGGGCTTTATAGTGTATTTTAATCTGCAGCACCTCAAGAGCTGAGGAAAGCTGTTAAAATACTGCAGTTAATGAAATAATCATTTTGGACTCTGTAGGTTGCTCTCCCCCTTTTTAAAGTACAAGATTGAAATCCTGCACAGTGCTCCCTGAGAATGGTCAGATGGTCAATTGTTTACCCCAGAAATACCTGAATTTTTTGGGAAGAGACTGCTACATAAACACAAGACATTATTATTAAGATATTTAGAGTGGTCTAACCCTCATGTATTGATCCCATTTCTAAACGAAGGACATTTTCCCCCTGAATAAATCATATTTTCAATATTTGTGAAGTTATCTCACCAGCTCTACCTAAAAAATAGACAATACAAAATAGTTTGGCTTCCTGCACATGAGAGCTTTTGAATTGAAGTCCTTAGTCAAATTATGTCCAGTATTTAGATGTTACAACTTTTTACCCTCTTTTTAGAATGTATTTTTATAAAAAAACGTGTTGTATAAAACAATACTGTCTTGAGAAACATGTAATTTAGATTTGTGCTATTATTATGCTCCTTAAGATTTAGGATTTGGGATCCATTTTAAATGGTTAAGTGTCTGACAGGGACTGCTTAGCCTGGGAACTCAACCTAAGCTGTGGCATACTGGGAACAGCTGGTTCTATATTTGGCATTTTATTGCATGTGTTTGTGTAGTACTAAATATTTAAAGCAGCAAATGTCGAGTCTCTTGGGGCACACAGAGTGCCACTTGGCAAATTTTGTTTTATTCTTCTCAGCGCTGAGAAGTTACTTTGAATAGTACATTCAGAAATCATTTGTATTTTAAATAGCTCCCAGAAAACAAAATGTTTATAAAGACATATCGTTGTACATTGTACTTTAAACAGTATAATTAATAGTTCTTATTTAGCAGATACCTTTATTATAAAAAATAATCCCAATTTGTGCAATAAAATATCATCTTTTACTATTCATTATCTATTGAAACAAGACTTATAGTTAAAATATAAGGTAAAAAGTGGATACAGTAATTCAATAAATGAAGAGCAATTAAATATTGTTTAAAAAGTAATGAGTCATTAAGTCATGGATTAAATATTGAAGGAACTGAGAAAAAGAGGCACACTTTATTCAGTAATCATTTAGGCAGTTTCTTATTTACAAGTCTATAAAGTGATTTAAGAAAGTTATTCTGCGTTGTTGCATAGCTATAAAATAATTAGATAATACATCAAAATAATATTTTAAGGTGCAGCTGAAATGCAAACAACTCTAAAGTAACAGAAGAACAGAAATTCTTTTTGAAAAGCACTAAAGTCTAATTTATTTAATTTGTTTAGCTTTATTAATATTTGCTGTTTGGCTGTCAGAGGAAAATACTCTCAAAGACTGAAATAATTGACTTTGGCAAGAATAATGTAACACAATTATCTGTGACTTCTTATACCCAGTAAGAAAAAAAGTATTTTTAAAATGAAGGTTAATTTGTATGTTCAAAAGCTAACCATAAATTCTGATGCTCAAAGAGTTTACTGTGGACTGATTTTAATCTTATCAATGTTTAACATCTGTGGCAAATCTGAAAAGACACTCAATTTGTCTTGAGAGGGAGTTCACTGTAGGTGACAAATAATTCTCAGTTGACCAACATTATCTTTTTCTTTGAAAAAGAGTTCCACGTTTCAATTTTCATTTCGCAATAGATGTGACACTGTATAGCAGGAAGATTTGTTCTGTATGAATCTGGTCTTGAATGTGCCCTGTGTTTGAAGGAAAGCACCATGAAACCGTGAGGTGGCAACAAATGCAGAAAATATTTCATGGTTCGTGAATATCACTTACATACAATAAAACACAGTATATAAAAGTAGATGAGGTAGAAATGTGGACCTGTTACAGGTCAAGCATTAATAATGTGAAAGTATTTGAATATTTTAAAAAGATTTATGTTTGAAACCTCAGATTGATGCTGGGAATATAGGAAACCTCAGTAACTCATTCTGTAACCTCAGTTTTTCATCTGCATGTTTTGGAAGACAGTCTCCACCATCCCAATTCTCTCTCTGATATTAACAATTCCAAAGCACTGGCTATAAATTATTGTAGTATTGTAGAGCAGAGTAGTTTATCGCCATATGTACACATACATTGGAATTCTTAATTGCTCTGATCTCTCGGGACATACACAGAATAACAGAAAACACCACACAATGTAGACAGTACATTACAAAAACATAATAAATAATAACTGGAAAAATAAATGTGTAGTAGTGAAAACACAGTGGACCATGCAAACAGTGCATCATGCAGGTGTGTATTGAGTCTGAGGCATTGCAGTGAGCTGTTGAGGATGTGTACTGCAGTGGGATAGAAGCTGTTCTTGAATCTAGTGCTATGTGTTTTAATTGTACGTTTGCCAGAGTGCAGGGGGGAGAGCAGTTTGTGGCCAGGGTTATCGGCTGTGTATAGTTTAGACTTAGTTCTAAAAGTATAGATTTAGACTTTGATTTCCTTTGACATTTAGGTACACCTACTACATTTAGGCTTGGATTTCCTTTGACATTTAGGGTCCTTCTTAAAATGACAAAACTATGTACAAGATCAACTATAGTGTTTAGCAGCCTTCCCATTTCTCCCTTTACCAGACCATGCCATAACAGTATTATTCACAGTCGCTCCCAAAACACTGCTTGCAGATCGTGTACTAATTGTTACTGAGGTAAAAGCATATACTGTGAACATTTAAAGCTGGCTTGCCTGGCATGCTGTTTGTGTCGTATCCACATCACACATGGGAATCTTTTTCTTAACAGCACTGAGGTGAGTGCAAATAAATCTGGGTTTGCCCAAGCTCAGTCTGTGTTACAACATGTTTTTCTCAGTCTTTTATTCCTAAGGGAAGAGGAAAGACAATCTTACTGAAGGAACAATCGTGTGACTGAACTTGCCTCGGAGAGAGCAGCAGCTAGTGTCTTAAGTAACAGCTGATCTTAATCACGAAGGTCAGCCAGAGCAGTTATTACACAGAACTGCCACAGCTGATGTAGTAGATGATAATCTTGAATGCAGTACTGTGAAAATATCACGCTTAACAGCAAAGGAACTTCCAAGGCTGTGCCAGCAAAACTGCCCCCACCCCTCTATTCTTATTAAATACTGCAATTTACAGTAAGTACACAGGGAAGTGCCTATACTTGCTTTCTGTAAGGAGCACGATTTCGGTAAAAACTTTAAATGATCTCTACACTGAGGTGTACTACTGCTGAAATACAAGGATTATATGAGGTCAAACTGCACATAAGTGGGGGGGGTTAAAACCATAGCTTATGTCCTTTACTTGGGCGCTCTGCAACTACCTTGTTTTAAAAACAAGTGTTAAAAGATGTAAATAATGCAAGTCTACAGACAGACTAGCAATGTTTTTATTTTACTGTTCCTTTCCATTCAAGCTATCATAATCAAAGATTGTAGACTGCTACCACCATGCCCTCAGATACACTTGTTTAGTAGCGTCAATCACAATTCATATTCAGTAGCAAGTCACATTATTGTTGCTCCATTTCTTTTTGCAAAATTATGGATAATCTAGGACACACAAAAAACACCAACAAATAGCCCAATATAAAATCTTGGTGAGAAGTTTTTAAACCATGTTTTTGGTTTGCTTGTGTTAATTTGGTTCAGGCCATTTTATTTATGAAGACTAAACCACTTGGCTACATGTTTTTCTTGAGTGGTACCATGTTGTTTTGCTTAGTGTACTGTGTAATTGTTAATGTTATGTTAAATGGGCCTGATATCCTGAAATATTTTGCTTAAATTATTTCCAAGCACCAAGCATCAGCATTTTACTTGCTTAAAGTTAAATCTTAAAAATACCTTGTTTTAATGCGCCTTGTTCATCCTGGTCAATTTAAATACCCATTAATTAAAAAAAATCAGTTTTAAACCTCTGTGTAGTTTTAAATCCTCACACTGCAAATTAAATTGAAAGACTGCTTTCCATTAAACCTTAAAATAACCATACATATAATGCATTTATACATTCCTTCCCTGGCTAAATGCTTTTATCACTGTATAGCATTGGTATTTAAATGCAGCCTGTGGCAGTTTGACATTTGGATCCCAAGTAGCATCATCATAAAAGAGGGGTCTTATTTAGAACTAACCAATCATCTGTGCCAAGCACAGCAATACCGTACATTAGATATCCTCCCCTTACTGCCTCCACAGCTATAAGATACAGCAACACTAGACTAGGTCCCCAAACACCATACCTTGCTTTCCCCAAGACACCACATGGGGGACCCCTTCTCCCTTCTCCACACCTTCACTTTCTGATGCCTCAATTTGACCACCTGTGTCAAATGTTTCTCTTACAGAAAGCATGTAAAATGACCTGGCAGTTAAAAAAAAAGAAACTCAAGACATTTAGAACCAATCCTGGCTGATGTTTGTCATCTAATTTGAAATGGTCTGGAGACATTTGACTTTCAAGATGTAATTTAAAGAATTGACATACAGGCATATTGGTTGAACAGTATTTCTTGGTTTAAATATAAGTGTGGAAATGGTGATCTTTTAATGTGCTTTAAGGTGTTCCAAGAAAAGTATCCTCAACCACCTGTTTGTAGAGGTCCTTTCACTTTCATGAGAGTTCAATCTACCATTAAAATAGAATTGTGGGAGTTGAGATACAGATTTTCCTTTAACTCCACAGCCTTCCAATGAGAATAGAGTTATCAGCAATTCCCCACAGGACTGAATGAGTGCACAGAGAAGGGACACAAAACACTGAATTCTGGGAAAGACCTGTTAGCCATAATTATATTAGAGTGTCACCAACTATTAACCCTGTGCCATCCAGTAGAAAATTGAAACTGTTGGATTTGGCTTTATGCTTAATGTTTAAAAGAGTCATAATTACATTAGACTTCCTTCTGTAATTTCACAATTATACAATAACAGTGCTGAAAACATACGATGGTAATAAATTAGGATTTGTATTAAAATTAGTCTCAGGGAAATATAAAAGGGTGTTTGAGTGGTGATAAAAACTACATTCGTTTAGCTGCCAGTGATATTCCACAGTGGAGGAAAAAAGCAGCAGGCTGAAGGTACAGAGGCTCTGAAGGCACTATAATGATTGAGACATTCATCAATATCCGAAAAACCAGACAGACACATGATTTTATTATTTATTGTCAATTGATATTGTATGCATACAAAGTTCCTAGAAAGCTACAAAATATCTACCACTTTATCAAGAAGGCATCAAAATGTTACTGAGCAAAGACAAGACCATCAGCAGTAAAGAACACACAAGTGTGGCAGGTGTTTCTATCTTTTCCTGCACTTTACTGTCATGGATATTAAAGATATCACACATTTGTACCGAGAAAAGCCAGGATACATGTTTTTATACAAAGCACCTTTTAAAAAAATTCTCTGCACACAAACCCTATAGTTCTCATACTACCTGAACTAAAGAAAAAGTTCACGTTAAAGCCAACATTTAAAATGGTTATAAACAAAAGGTACCAGTACCTACACAGACAAAACACAAACAGAAATAAAAACAAGAACTGTACTGCTGATATGTTTGTTGAAATTCCTTTTGACATCTTTATATATTGTCCACTATATTAAAATAATATTCTTCAAACATTCAATCTTTAAAGAGAAGAATCTTATAAATCCAAATTTCAGGAGAGGTATTATAAGATCTTTCAAAATGGAATTTACATAGCAAATGTACCAGCAGCGGGGCAGTAACAGATTCACCACTGACCGAATTCTGAATAAGCTGAAGTCATCACAAAACCATTTTATACATACAGCACAATAAAACATGAACGGAGTTAATTTTAAGTTATTTATAAATGTGAACACGTACACAGGGCAAAACAGCTGTCAAACACGAAACAAAACCTGAAGGTAAAACAAATAAAGGCTATTTGATTTGAAATTATACAAAACTTCAGGCACATAGCAAGATGGGCAAAAATAGTGTTTGATTTGATATCTTTTTAAAGTGTTTCTATAGAGCTGTTGCCATTACATGAAACATTTTAACAATACTTTAAGAAAAAAAGGGATTGGCTTTTTCATAATATAGATTTATGGAGTTGGACAGTAAAAAAAAACTAAGCTGCTGTATTCTGGCACCAAAGGGTTTGGGGGGTGGGAAGTGGGAGCACTCCTTCCAAAGTGAATTTTGGGAACGGCTGATGAACCAATTTCCTTAGTTTTGACAGTTTTTAGATGAGGGAGATGAAAGTCAAATGGAAAAGCTAGCATGTGGACTATATGCTATAGTCTCATCCCTTGGGTTTTTAACTGGCCTTTCCAAACAGAGCTTTAAGCCTCATGTTATTCTGCACCTGGAGCTGTCAAGAAATCAAACAATGACTTCAGTCAAACCAACAAGGCAAGATGTGTTATTTCAATCCGAAAACTCCTGTGGCACTATAGGTTTGCAAAATAGTAGGATTAAAAATAAGGTAACAGTCTTCACGTAAAGGAAAAAAAATATATATAAAAATTGTCCCAAACCAGAAATCTGTTCATTTTGGCCAATCAGATTTACCCAGTTCTAGAATTACTGGAGTGTTTGCAGTGTCACGTGAATGTGACTCCTTTAAACCCAGAATCCACAGAAGTACTCTCTTGTAATAACACACAGCACTAAGTGACATGAAGAAAACAATCAAATTTTAACTAGCCCATCAAATGACTGATTCCAACAGCAAGAGAGTTAAAAATCACTTTGGTGGAACCCCTTTGCTTACCATGGTTTGCAACTCATTTCATAGATGTTAACATCAGATACTGGTGCTTTTTTCTTACTGCTCCAATGTATTAAAGATTAATTTTTACACCCTTCCTCAGTACAGAAAATTAATTTATATTCATAATAATGAATACTAAATTTCAGTTTCTCCCGTGAAAGACACGATGTGCCTTGTTATTTCATTACAAAACTAAAAAAAAGGCATTGTGGTGATCTGTTTTCTCTCTCTTTTTTGGTCTTGCTACAATTAGTTAATACTTAATATTGAATCTGTCTTTTCTAAGCTGGAAATACCAAACCAAAGGCACTTTCATGCTACAGTGCAGGAAATTGCTAGAGAAGATCTCTATTTTTGGTCATTTAGATTAAAAAAAGGCAAAGTTTGTTTAGTATATATTGTTCTACCCTGTGAAAAATAATCACATGAAAGTGAGTAAATTCTTTAAGTTTTTTTTGCACATTCTATGAATCACAGTTCGTTTCTGACATGGTACAGGTTGGTGTCTGTGCGTGTGTAAGAGACTATGGCAGCTACTGTCAGATACTCCTTTCTTGCAATCGATTTGCTACTTCTTAATATTCAAGACCCAAATAGACATTTTTAGTACAAGTAAACAAAGGTCAGTATTACAACATACACTAAGGCACTGTATACTGTTATACTTTGGCAGTTCTGTGTGTGATAAAATTCCTACAAAGTTCGACAATAACAAGAAAGTCTTCCAGCTTAGGAAAGAGCTCACAGTTTTAGTGGCATCTTTTGGAATCCACACCACCACATTTAAGGCTTGTGAGTAATATAAAATGAATATTGTAGGCCACAGATTCATAGAATTTGATGAATGTAAAGGCAGCAACCAGCTGGTATTGGATAGGAAAAAATATCTAACCGTAATATTTCAGTTACCCCCAATCATGCCGATAGCCTGTTCAGGAATTACGCACCATAACAAAAAAATGCCATGGAAACTTGTGAACTTTATCTGGTTTCCCAGCAAAACTGATATTCTTTTAAAAATGATCCCAGCCTTTTCTTTACACAAAAATAATTCCCATTGCTAATCTAAAAATATGCAAAGAAAGTAGGCAACCTCAGTAAGAGATGTCCTAATGAGGAACCAAGTGCTTCGGACAAGGCAACAATTGAGTGTAGTGCTTTCATTTTGTTTTTTTGAGAAAATACTTTTACTGGGCAAAATCCATTTGCAGCTTTGGGAAAGGAATCAAAATGCATTAATTGACATTGTTCTTATTGCAGTTGTGATCTCTCATGGCTTAGGCCAGAAAGAAGCAAATATAAGCTTCCATTATCACAGTGCGTTTAGTTTTTCAGTTAGTCACTTTTTAAAAAGTCACCTGATTTAAGATTAAATTAAGCGTAGTATCTAACAGAATATCAGAATATAGAGTTTCAGTAATTTATGAACGCTGCAAATGTTTTGATAACGTAGTGTATCTGTAGTCATGTTGGTCATGATTTTTGTCTCGAAAATAGTATTTATTGTTAATTTATTTATCCAAAATTATATCTTTGAAATACTTTCTTTGGAAAAAAACTCTCTATATATATTATACAGTTTACACAACCCTTGATATAACAACTAGTGTCTTTGATAACTGTTCTTAATTGACAACACAGGAAAAAATGAAAAAGAGAAATAAATCTATTGACCAAATGCAACCTGACCAACAGATAATTCTGTTATACTTTCCGTACTGCCACATTATATATATATACACACACACACACATCTTCCTCAGAACAGGTATCGATTAATCATCTGTTAAAATGAACTATTTCAGTATCAAAACATTTTACAACTGTACCGTAATTCACAGCTGTAGTCATACACATATACATTAAAAATAAAGACAAAAAAAATAGACTTCACCCAAATCTGACTGAAAATAAATCTGGGTTTGATTTTGATTAGAGGCACTGCCACTTGTATTGAGGTTGTCAGTCTATATTTAAGGTTTTCAGTAAATTCCTCTACTCTCATTCCTTCACAAGCCTGTAGATATGATGCTGGGCTCCATGTTCACTGTTCGACACTTCGAAAACACAAGCCATGCAGAGTAGGGTTTCCTGTGTGTCCCTGTTTGTTACCACCTGAAACAAAGAGAGGGGTTATCACCAGGCGTTAAAGCTTACTTATGACAACATACAATCTGGTTTTGATAACCAAGACTAAATGCTCAATGCTTATTTAAAGGTGTTGGCTCTTCTGTTTCTGAAATGTTTCATGTTGAGCACATTAATGAGTTTTGGAAACAGAAGTACATGGTAGGCAACACTAAGAGTTATGGGGTGCATTACATAATTAATGTACAACACTTGTTACATCATGCATTTTTCATAATACTTTTACATAAGTGACATCTGGCTAAAAAATCTTTTAATGCTATATATGTACTGAGTTTACAAACTTATTAAACTTAACCAATTTAACACGCTCACACAATACTCGCACAATGAGGTGCACATTCTGAAATAAAGTAACTTACCAATAAGATTGTGAAGTTCTCCAGTACACTGTTCATCATGTATTTTTCTGGCAAATGTTTGAGCTTGTGAATAAAGTTGATCATATATTCACACATGGGTGAGCGGCTTATTCTGTATACAAAACGTCCATTCTCAAACCTTGCATATTCAGTCTGGAAAAAATGCAAATGTTACATGGATAAGGGTTTTAAAAACTTATGGACATAATTAAAGGTTAAATTTGGTAGAAAGATATCATGTTTGACAATCTGTCTAAAATGGTATTATTTTATATAATAAAGAACAGTAAAAAAAACAAAAGCCCTAGTAAAACAATAACATGTTTTGTAACTTTTCTGCCCATTAAAATATGAATTGCAATTTATAAATCAACGTTGCGTAGTATTCATGTTAGACATTAGGTCATTGTTCTAACAAGCTGAGTCATTCCTGTTTAATATTAGCAATGACAACTACTCTGGGCTAGTGCTAGTATTGTCTACAAGTTGATAAAGTTGAATCTACATTGATAGTCTTACATGTTAAGTATTATTTCAACAATATTATCACTTTTGAAGATAACCTAATGAAACGTGCAAATACTGCTGTAAACAAAGAAATTTATTCTAGTCACCATTCTGTTACATAACAGCATAACAAAATGTAAGGGTCAGATGAATTTATGAGCCCATTCGACAAGGGAAGCAGTGAAACCTCAAAATACACGCATTGTATGCAAAACAAAGTAGTTTCACTAAAAGGAAGACTCACCTCGACTTTTTCCACCACTTGTTTGCCGAAGGAGCACACCTTGGTGGAGCAGGTGATTGTCATGTTTTCAGAGCTTTCGTATTGGCTTGTCACCCCATAGAATGCTCCGGCATCATCTTGAATATTGCAGTTCAAGTCAGCCTGGAAACCAAACATTTCACATTTAAACATTTAGCCGGAAGGGATCGTTTTCGTCTCATTAAAAACAACTGTTGGCATTCAAGGTTTGAATCAAGTGATTCTTCCGCTGCTCGGACATCTGCTGCAGTGTTAACATCTTAAAAAGCTTAATGAAGGAACTTAAACCTATAAGAGGAAGAATGGCTTTAAGCAATAATTCTAGTAGCATCAGTTAGCCAATTCCAAAAAGTACACAATATTTGCTTTTGGATGACAATTTGGTTTAAGTGGAAATAAAGATAAGTGGAACAAAGAAACATCTCTCTTGAAGGTACAAGTGAATATTTCTTTTTCTACTGAAGAGCTCTAGTGTCCTATAGGCATGGCTTTTAAAGCATTTTGTTCAGGGTATTTACTTATTTAAGAAGTTCATCCCCCTGGAGATGAATAATCAAGTATTTTGAATTGAATCTAATTCAGTTGTATCAAATGCTCATCACTGACTAAAACAAAAGGATGAGAGAAGCTGTTTAAAAGACAATGCCTATTCGTAGGTGTTGTTTGATACAAGCAGGATAACTAGCTCCATGGCTCAGATGCTTAGCACACTGTTTTTGAAAGACTTGAGCCACTAACACAGTTTACTGTTTTGTATTCACTGCAAGGAAAACACTGCTGAATAAGTCTAAAAAAGACAGTTGCACCCACATCCATTATTGTTTTATTTATACCTTATTTTTGAGATCATGACTATTCTGCTTTATTACATGGGAGATGACTGGCACATGACCACTTTACAATTTATTTTCTTTTCACCACATGAGAATTCCATTTGTGATGAGAAATATTTTTTCATTTCAGACTTCCACAGAAGTTTATCCCCACGGTATTCATGTATTTAATCTCTCACAATTAGATCACGTATGCTTTCATTATAACCTAAATAGATTTCTAGGACATTTTTAAGAGGATGTCTAAACCAACCACAAGAAAGCAAGGGATATAAAATGCTATAAAATAATTTCCTGTGTATTACTGGAAAACTACCACTAGACATGGTTTCTGGGATAGTACACTGTGTTCATTATTGCTATAAAAAGAGCAAATATTCTTTGCAACCATGTTTCTCATTCATTAAGAGAGGTAGTTATAAATAGAGACAATATTCAGGAGGGTATCATTGTGCAGATTCCGCAATTCATTTGAAATTCAGATTTGTCCTGTACTTCAAAAGAATTTTAAAAGGCTCGTTCTGATGATGATATGCATTACTTTGTAAGAAGCTGCTAGTTTGCATTTTGCATTTCAGTGAATCTGTGCAATGTTGAAACAGCTATTAAAGGCTCAGTAGGTCACTTCATTGTTTTAAAATACTGGAGAACAAAAGGCTTTGATGCTACTATCTAGAGCTGCATTTAACCAAATATAGTAACTGTCCTTTCAGAAATCTATTAAACTGCACTGGGTATTCCTGAATTTAATCAAAATTCCCTGATCAACCCAATAATTCAGAGATCATCAACTCTAAAAATAGACTGACCCCCTCCCCTTTAATATTTCTTTCTATTTTCCAAACTATATTCTAGGTATCCTATATAATTCATTTTGAATGATGCTAATGGTTAGAAACATAATTAAAAAGAAAATGCCTAGATATACCAAGAGAACTTGATCCTTGCTTTCTATCCTTCAGATGCACGTTTACAAAAGTTTTTTTGCGCTTTTTTTAACCTGAGATCATTTCTTACACGCTTCAATTTGAGTGTTTTAAGTCAACACACTTAAGGCTACAACCCCTGTGACAGCTAAAACCATACAGAACTGATTCTACAATCAATGTTAGGACAGTTAGTTCTTAACATTTCAAGCCCATACGGGGTCTACAGGGGAGTTAGCATTGACTGGCACATTAACGCAGTTCTGATAATACTGCAAACACTGGCATGCCCAGAAAACCACAGGAGCTGCTGGTGTGCAGAAAGCCCCTTTCAGAAGCAAGTTCACTGCCTCCTCAGTCCTCAGGGATTCTAGGTCACATCTGGCTAACTTGCACTGGGATTGTCTGGACTATAGGCCTCAACCTGCCTGCCAGACGAGTGCCTTCATGGGTTTAATCACTCGGGTGCCCATCTGTGAAGCTGGGCAACTCAAATTACACTTAAGGACTTTAAACAGGACTGCTTCGTAAATATGCATGTTCAAGGTGGCTGATTTTACTTCCATCTTATGTAAGACTTAAAAAAAAAACCTCTCCCCTTCCTTAAAGAAAAATGTACATTTTTTTTTTACTGCTTTACAAAAAGCTCTTTCCAATTGTTTCTTACAGATCTTAAAAAAAAAAAGAGTTCTCTCAAAAGTTTTGAAGTAACCACAGAATGCCAGGAAACGTTTCCTGTAATATCAAAAATGTTCCACAAGCAAAAAAAAGAGCAGCATAGGAGTGGGAGATATTGGAATGCTCTAAACCTTTCTACAAATGCACATCAAATAATGAAAACAATGTTGATTAGAACTCCACACTTCTCACAGAGAAACTAAGAAAGATAAAAATTCTCACGTTATATAGGAACATATTCTTTAAATTGAACTAAGAACTAAAGAATTTCATTCGGCAGGGGGCAGCAGTCTTGCTTTTGAGTTGCATGGAATACTCACCACCTGTCAGACTGCAGGCAGGTGTTCAAACAAAGAAACAATAACGCCCTCCAAGTGATACTGAGAGAAACATGCATAGTGACGCAAGAGGTAGAATCTTTTCCAAAGTAATAAGTCTGGTTCCAAGTTAAAAAAAAAGAATCTTTACCACTTGTGATTCATGTAGAATCCCAATAAAACTACAAATCAATAGAAGAAGTTCCATCTCTTTTTATTATGTTTCTTTGAAGAGTGCAGGATAGGAAACAGATTCCACAAATCGCAGCTTGTGCATCATAAAACTCACCCAAAATTTCACGAGGAAAAAGGAATTCTGCGGTCCTTTGCCAAAAAGCTCCTTCAGACCTCCTTTCTTTTCTGGGAATTTGTCATAAATCTGACGAATGTCTACTGATTCAAGCAAGGCATCGTTGTAGGAATGATTGGTTTGTCCAATGTGCACAAAGAGGTGCTTGTTGTACTAAAATAAAAACAGGAAATAGTATTAAGAGTCACGCAACTGAAAATGAAAACGTTGTGATATATTACAAACATTGCCAGCGCCTTTTTCAATCTGTTAATGAAAACCTATTATCCTGTATAAACATAGAAATGATGAATAAATAACGATTTAAGGTTCAGTTGAGCACAATCACAAAAGTTGAAATGGAAATTCCACTGTTTATGGGTGTACACATCATTCACAATCAAGCCAAAAGTAGAGATATTATGACACCTTGATGTTCTTTTCATTAGAGTTTTATTCTTTAATAACAATAGCTGCTCTCTCAGGCCAGATGACCATAGGGTACAGGGATACAAAAGTTCATCTGGGAAACTTTGGAATAGAATTGCAAAGAAAATTTGTATTTAATTTTGAAAGAAGGCAACTAAGCTCACTCAGTGGCCCAAAGAGACAGTAATGTGTTATGACCTGGGTTAACAGTGGACATGAATGCCTATTAAACATGTATGGGCCTATCCTCAGATGATCCCTACATAAGAGCTACAGTAAAACCTGCTTCCCAGGAATGCCTCATACAGCTCTGGAAGAGGCCTGCCATCCCACAGACGGGCTCATTGTGTTGGAGGACACTTGGGGAACATAACCACCTGTTTAAGTCTTTCTCTAGAGAATTCTCATGAGTTCACTCTAAAACTAATAAATAAGAATAAAAAAATTTCAAGAATTCTGAGACTCCTCTGAGACTCATCGTTTCAGGGAGGCATTTATGTTATTTGATTTTATGAGGGTTGTTTCAAAGTCATTGTTAACCTTCAGTTCAATAACCGATTCTGCAAACCAACAACTCCAGCCTTCAGAAGACAACCATTTGAAATATTCTAGCAAAAATAAGATAAATGGCTGTTGTCATGCAATATCAATTGAAAAATAAAATTCATTTAGGAATGCAGACTAACCATGACAAATAACCCATGTCTAGTTCAAATAATAAAATATTTGCTTGTAACAGAACGAGGGAAAAACTATTTTAGACCAATTGAAACACAATATTTTTTATTTCAATCTTGCCCTCTTCTGTCCTTTTTTTTCTTCTTAAATAATTTTGCCACTGTTCAGCTTACTCTGGAGAGGAAATCAATTGCGAAATGTATAACTGAGCAATTTCTTGAAAAGTTGCACAAGAAGCACAAACAACGTTGGAAAATCAAAATACCTATCAGCTCTACTTTGCAGTTAATATCACTCCTTGTAATAGAAACAAGGGCTTGGATTGAGTTCATTGTGCTGTAGTTCAAAGTGGGGGGGGGTTCTCCTTGAACAATAGAAGACACTGTAGTAACAGACATCTCTTCACATTCATCTTGCATATACTTACACCAGTGACACCATGCCCAGACTAGAAAGTCTGTTGTATTTTGTGAGACAAAGGCTTTTCTTCTTAATCACGAGAAACTGCAGTTTACATTTCACCGTTTATAGTGATGTGAGGTGCAAACGACAAATCAAACTTCCACAGGTCAAGTTGCCCGGGAGAGGAGGTCTTACCGAATCGGGGTCTCTCTGCTGCTCCAGGAAAGCGGAGAACTCCACCAGCCGCAGCTTGGACGTCCCGATGGAGCGGCCCTGCCAGGCTGGGACAGTCGGCGCTGGGGCGGCGGCGGGCTCGTACCCTGAACATCACACAGACACGTCAGCATGTAGCAGTCACACCCAACCACTCTACCCCCCCCGGCAGGGACGCAAGGTCTGACCGGAACACGGCTGGGGAGCAGCTACTCTAGTGCTTTCAAGCAGGGGGCTGTGGAAGCGTGCTTAGGCCGCAAAGGAACAAGTAAAGGTTTATTCCCTGCCGAAAAGAAAAGAGAATGATTCGGCTGTGGAGCCTTCTTCAGGTGTAGAAGGTCTTCATCTGAAGAAGGCTCCACAGCCGAAATGTTTCTATTTTCTTTTTTCAGCATGGAATTTACTTGTTCCACCATACTACTTTATTCAGTTTACCTTAATTTAACAGTCCTAAAAAACCTTACATGTGGTATAAGCAATGATATGGTGTGAGGATTTAGTTATTTTACTCAGTTTTTTTTAAACCAAAGTAACAAAATACTTTATTTCAAAACAGATTTACAAAGTTCAAGAAAATCACAACTTCTCTCCGAGCAGCAAGGACAGTGCTGCTGACATTTAGGCTGCTGCTCAGAACTCGTCTATTTAGACGGCACAAGTGGCCTCTCGGCTTCCAGCTACCTGCTTCAGCAACTCAAACACCAATGTTTCGAATTCTCAGGCTGGTAATGTAACTTACTTGTTGCATTTCTTCCAAGTAAACAAGCTGTGCATCCATACCTGGTGTTTATATTACTGCTCTGTATCCACACTACCTGTATACAGTTTAAATTCTTACCATTTCATCTGTTTGCATAGCACCTATGCTGCTCATCTAGTTTGTACTTTCCTCGCTATATTTATTCTACCATACAAATATTCCTAGTACCTACAATGTACACCTAATGTTCATTATAAGTCGCCTTGGATAACAACGACCTGCTAACTAAATTAACTAAAGAGATTGGTGCAAGTTGTAAGCGGGCAATGAAATCCCCCTCCATCAGTACACTACCTAGGCAAGTTCCTGAAGATTCCTTCAAGAACAAATGAGATGCGATCCTCATATCACTTCCAAACTAACAAGCAAATGAGTAACACAGGCCAAATGGCATCTCATTGTAACATTCTTATGTTCTGAAGTCTAAGAAGGAAGTAAATATAAGAATCAACAGCATATCCTGCAAATACTACACTGACTAGCCATGGCATGTGTTTATAAAACATTCAATATGAACTCCGTTATATTTCAAACAACCACAGAGGATGCAGTTAAGACAAGGACCAGGGAATCAAAGCCAGAGAAGTACTCCAGCTGGAATAACAAATAGAAGCAAATTCCTGAGAAAGACTGGAAGTATGAGAGATTTCAAAGAAAGTCAGCAGAAATAATGATTTCCACTTCAGTTCATACAGAAATAGGGAGAACCAATGCAAACTACCTGAGGGTTGATTCATATGGCAGGTGGTATTTTTCCACAAGAAGGAGTGGCGATTGTACGGAATGGATCACTACTGTGACCAAGAATGCCTTCTTAAGAAAACAGTAAAAATCTTTCACTGCTGAGTTTATTAAGAAATGAACAGGCAGGAGGGAAACATCCTCCCTTTTGTCCTTAACTTTAAATTTTGGTCTTCTCTTGTGAATTTTTTTTTATTCCCGCTTGAGCGGACAGAGCAGATTTACATGGGAAAACAAACTAACTCTAAAACCTAAATAATGGTCGGCTACAGCCAGCTCAGGTCACCCAGAGCTTAATGGCTGTTTATCAATGGGGTGCCTCCTACTGCAGCTAATAGCTCCGTTAGATACAGCCATTTCACACTATTACAACAGCGAACAGACGTGAAATTCAAAAGGAGGAGTGAATCAATTAGAATGCACTTTATTCCCCCCCAAACAGGAAATGCGTTATGTTCTTCCTGTATTAGCCATCATGTCAACTTCAGCTCACAGGAACCCTACATACATTTAAAACCAAATGGGTGGGGATTTAAGAAGCAGTTTTATTTGTTTTGCATCTGGTATTTTCTGCAGAATATCAATCAAAAATGTAATCTTCTAAGGTTCTCCTCACAGGATGACATTGGATATAATATACTAGCATATTTGACAAAATGCAATACTGATAAAACTTAATGTGGGGGATTTGAAGGTAAGTAATTCAGTGGGAATGTGACTATTATCCAAGGAGAGTGCATCAAAACCTACCTGAAATAGGCGTTGTTACTGCTGGCTGGATGGGATAGGCTTGCTGGGCAAATGGCTTTATGCTGAAATAAAGTAAATAGAAAAGCAACACTTGGATGTGAAAGCATATTTGATGTGCAATGATTAGTAAAAATGTTTGTTGGTGTGTATTTGTGTATATTGTTCAAAATAGTATGAGCTAAGAAATGTTATCCATCACTAACATTCACACCACCCATGGAGAAAAACTGCAGACGCGTGTCACAACATCATTTCGGATTCAGCTGTGTTTACTTACTCTTGTGATGATCCGGGCTGTCCTGTCGATATCATGCCCTGCCAAAACTAGGAAACGGATAAATGAATGGTTAACCAAAACAACACACCCCCACCCCCTACACTCACTCACACACCATCACCTGGTTTTATCAAGCACTTAAACCCCAATGAAAAAAGGAAGGTCAGGCGCACAGTTCTCATACACCCTCAGATGCTGTTTTTATTACATGATTATCTTTGACTTATTCATTCAGCTTTTAATATTTTTTCCTATCAGCTGCTAGATCAAATAACCTCCACTGCAATTGACCGCACTTGAAACCATCCCCTTTTCACCCTTCGCTGGCTCCAAGTGGAGCCCATTAGCTCTCCTTTCCCCACACAAGTTCGGTGGATGCAGCTCTTCTCTTACCCCTGGTGCTCCTGGAAAGGCTGGGCGCGGGATGCCTGGCAGGCCTAGTTTATTGTGGATGGCAGTGGCCGATACAATCTGTGCCGATGACATGGAAGCCATACTTTGGAGTGCTTTGTCCTTCACGGTTTGATCCTTCAACAGCAGTCACACAAAAGGCTTAACATTACAGGCAATGGCAAGATGCTCCACAGCAGCAGCACAAAACAGCTACAGTACACAAGCTTTGATTAATGCCAACAGCAAGCGTTACATATAGGAATGAAAAAAAAAACTAAATTAAATAATCACATCTGCCACAGTTATATGTTTGAATGAATGTGCCATTCATTCTCTGTAACTATCAAGCATACATGAATTCCTCTAATGTAATAATGCAAATGCTGGAGTGTTTCATACTGTGCATCAGTATGCACGATATACACTCAAATATTGTGAATACAGTTCTACAATGTAACTATTAATTAGCTTACTTTTCAGAAACAAAACTGTCCTAGGGATGGTCCTTCTTTTGTTAGACTTGTCTTTGTATGCATATATAGTGAGGCACTCTAGACTATCACATTTATACAAGTGGAAAAAGCAAGCTTATAATATACTTCAACGCCATGAAAGACCCTGGAAGGCACTTTTTGTATCAGTAGACTTGAGAGATGCACATGTACTAATATACAGAATATCCCAGATTGCTTTTATATAGTAAATCTGGGGAACAACAGTAGTCACGCCATCTGTGGACCAATTTATATTAAAAAAGTTTCCATTTTAAGCAATAAAAGTCCAGATTTGGAGTTTTAAGTGCTCAAGACTATCAATACATCTCAATTGCTTTTAACTGATTCAATCAGGCAGATCTGATCAATAAAATAACCTGGGATTGCTCCATACGAAGTGTTATTGATCACATATTGCCCGAGGAAGGTAAAAGTTGTTTCAATTCTTATAGGAGATCAAGCACAAAATATGGTTCCCATTTTTCAAAGACTAAATACAGCAAACCTATTAGTCTATCAGAGGAAACTTCAAAAGAATTGTGGTTAGAAAAGACTACATACTCCACCATGCAAGTAAATTATTGGGTGTTTTTTTTGTTAATAGACTGACAAGAGAAATCGTGCCATGTTTCACCTTTAAATCCAGAAAAAAGCCAACAGCAAATCTTAAATGTTTTATAAACATTTAGGTGAAATGTCAGTTAACCACTAGAAACAGCAGAAAAAATGACTGTACAAAAGTCATACACAGGTAGGTTTGAACAAGCAAACATTCTGGGTGAGCATGCTGGCAAGGAAAAATGCACTGAAGTGTAACAGCACTGTATCTGCTTAAAAACAACAAAACCTTGACATCAGAAACCAAATGATAAGCAGGTGTTCTTGAGGAGAGGCATCTACACTAACAGCAGAGATACTGTGAAAGCTAGCCTAAAGATAGGCCAAGCACAGCTAGGAAACATAACTGGGAAAGGCATACTTACCATGCTTGTTACCTGAATGCAAACAAATAAGATTTATTGTAATTTTATAAGCTTCTTGCTAAATGACCATTGAGCTACACATCACATTTACCATGTAAAGAAGGAATACTAATACATTAGAACTAACTGAACAGGTTTGTTTTTGAGGTCAGTCATTGAATGAGACTCTTGCCCTTTGATGACATCTGCTCTAAAATGCACTCTAACCAAGCTTTAAATTATGATAAAATGAAAGAGTTGATCAAACTGTAAACTGAAGCATTTTGTAAACATTCATTTAAAGAATCATTTAAGGTAACTCTAGTACTAAGTTATCAAAATGTCCCAAAAGAATGTGAAATGATTTAAGTTTTCCAGATTATATGCAACACATTTTACAAATGTTTGAAATTTCTAAATTCATTCTGGGTCATAACAGCTGAAGACAATTAAGACATCATGAATTTAATTTAAGCTTTTCTCTTGTTTTAAGCAGTGAATTTTAAAAACATAGCAACACATGCATACACAAATTTAATACCACAGCACTAAGCATGGCTTCTGTTACTGTATCCATATTGATGTTCTATTTTATCTTTGAATTTTATATTAACAATGCACTGATGGCCTTGTTTTAGACATTTTCTGCATATTAACATCCAAGGTTAAACCTTTTCTTAACACCTCATTGTTGAATTCTATAACTACAAATATATTTTCTACAAAAAAACTAAGGAAGTTTTTTTCTTCCTTTTTGTAGAGTTTGACAACAGTAACTCTTAACTTATGGTATAATGTCATAACATTTTTTAAGAGTGATGATAGAAAAAGACACAAATTGAGCTTCACAATTCAGATCTTTAAGATGCCCACAGAGGTAGTTATTGATCAAAATGTAGCTTAAATTGAAACAGTTTAGAGTGATTTATAAAATATGCACTTTAAAACACAGCAGTCTTAAATACATTAAAGGTTCAAAATTAATGCATCATAAAATATCACCAAGCTCCTCCACCTTAATATCCAAAACACTGGATAATAAATTAATTTTCCTCTGAGATATTTCATATCACCTTTGCCTAGATTTCATTTTGGACTACCCATAGAGTGTGGTAACATAATGACAGTAATTTCACTTAACAGAACAGAGATAAAGAAAAGGGGATATGAATGTACAATAGGGCCATCAGCAAATGGAAGGCCTGTACTTGAATTCTTTTCCACCCTGTTCTCTAATTTGCTTTTGATTAAGGTAGACAGTAACACATACAAAAGCTGGCTATTTTACTCAGGCAACAGGCAATGCCCATGAAAGAACGTGCATTCATTGCTGCCCCCAACACACTACCTAATGAGCAGCAATTAATCCATTTTATTGTGTTTGAAAATGGTGAAAACTGGGCACATCAAAGAAAGATTCTAAGCTATCTTTCAAGTAAGATCTTTGTTCTTCATTTCAAAACCCAAGGAAAAACCTGAGATTTTTCCAAAAAAATCTTAAGTTTCAATTACTAGGATTCAGATAATGCACATTTATTATACAACATGAAATAACCTGTATGACAATTTTATTCACACTTGGAATCTTGACATGGACGCTGGTTTTAGCCTGAATGATTTTTAATATCTATTAACGCAGCTTAAGGGAAGCAGTTGTTGCAGCCAGGTGAATATTAGATCAGTCTTTAAGAAAAGAAAGGAAAGAATGCAAAGTAAGCATTAAAATGTAATAAAGCCTTATTTCTTAGTTCAGACTGATGTACTTTGCTATTTAGGTTAAAAAGGAAAATATCAGATTCTTAAGAGAAAGGAATAACAGGGCCTGATCTTGAAGCATTTTAATTCAGCACAGCTACTTCCTGTGCCTGATTAAAATACATAAGCCAAGGCATTCAACGGATGCCCTATCAACCCCAGTGCTCAGCAAGCACAGCTCACAGCCACTCACTACCATCCAATGCATCTTGCCAGCATGCTGCCCATTTTGCATTGAAAAAACAAACACTCCCTTCCAGCTCATATGCGTGTTATAAAGACAGTCAGATTTGCCACACCATGCCTATCAGCACTGTGGAAAGCAATTAATTTAACTAGCCATGTGTCATTTGTTTTGAGCATCATATTCTTTGTGTCCACACTGTACTACTATTAGTTAGGGCTTAGGACTGAAGGGTTACACGTTCAAATGCCAGACTAGTGTACCTCACTTAGAATTGCTCCAGTATAAGGCCCACTTTTGAAATGGGCACTTCTCCCCAGGCGATGATTGCAAATGAGAATTTCTTCAGTTAACCTAGTTGGTTAAATAAAGGATTAAGTTTTAAAATGTAATTTTGCCTAGTGCTGCCCTTGTACTGAACTTCCAACTTGATCTAGCCTTGTAATTTTATTAATGTATTGTTGTCCTTAGACTGTCTTAGATTATATATCAAAATACATAATTTGCCTAGTAAGGACATCTACTAGGCAAGCAACATCAAATACACTCATTATGGATACTGAGCATGATGATCTCACATTTGCTGGCATGTTAGATGAGATGTTGCTGATTCCTTTAAATTACTATGAAACCAAATTAAATTGTACTGTTCATTGTTTCAGATTACATATCTAATTGATAACCCTAGAAAACTGTTAATGAGCCAAATGTAATTCAACTGTTTTTCACAGTGTCTTTAGTAAATACATTAAGGACACAGCAACACTTGAATTCCTTAACTTCAAATGTTTTATTTACAATTATGTAGTCCTTGAAGCATACAAAGGCCTAGATTTACAAATACATTTTCTACATTACTCTTTAAGAAGATAATCAACTAAGAATGTGTGCATTAGGGATTTTCAGTTTTCCCATTTTATCTTAATTATACTTTTGTGATTAAGAATGTTCAGGATTTTTTAAAGGACCAAATGGGTCACAGTTAAACATCCACAGATATTTTTTGGTTTGCTCAAATCAAAAGCACATATAACTTAAACCAAATCCTTCCCAAAGGCTGAAGAGGTGCTTCCAGACTAGAGATTTGTGTTATAAATGCTAAACAGACTGCCACATGCAGGAAAACTAGGTTACAGGAATCACAGCACAAGGCATTCACCCATCACCATGGAAAACAGGAAGTGAAACGCATAGCAACCACAAGCCCAAAAGCAGAAAAGCGCATACCTTTAGCTTGGAATGAAACTCACGAGATTTCCTTCTGGCAAGAACCTGAATGTGACTAGACACCTGCAGGGTAGGGGAAGGGAGGAAAACAAAGGAAAAGCCTGTAACCATGGAGATGAAAAGCCCCCTGCAACTGGGCAAGCCAGACGTACCTTGATGGCGGCTTGGATTTCTCGAACTTTCTTTCTTGCTAAGACCTGTATGTGACTAGACACCTACAATCGTTCAAATTTATAAAACAAAAAAAAAAGAAAAGAAAACCAAATGTAAAAAATACATATCTATTGGTTAATACACTTAGGGAAAATGATGGGTCTCATCAGGCAGCTAAGCTAGAAGGTGTACTGCATTTTCAGCCACGCACCAAGCTCTAAGCAACCAAAGCATTGTTATATAGGTCATCATCACTTAAGTGAATTGATTAAGGAAGACGGTCTCATTTACCACATTTAGCCTTGTGCAGTTGTCAAATTGTAGTTCATGTGGTAAATTAAAATTTCCAGATGTTTTTTTTTCCCAACAGTATTTAAAAGTGTCTTCATGAAGGCTGACTTTGTTCAATTTACTTTTGTGTCTACGAGCTTTAAATGATGCATAAATACTCCATAGTCTTTGTTAAAAGCTAATGTATATCAAAACATTCAGGTAACACGAGGTTGAATAATAATCAAAACTTTAGGAACTCGCTCCACAGGCAAAGAGAGCTGAGGGTGGTGAGAATAAATCTGCAATGGCATTTTTGTTCCCCATTCACACCACCTTCTCTTTGCATTTTTATCAAATCAATCAAATACAAGTGGTTGTTGAAACATTTCACGCAGAGAAGCAATACAGTATCAGGGTGCTGTTAATGAAAATCAGAAATCGTTATGTGCTATTACACCCTTTGTGCATATAAAGAAAAATGAAAGGTCTCATACAGGAGTTTAAATGATACTATATTTTAGCAAATAAAAGCCATCAGAAATTGTATTCCATTTAAGCGCTGTATAATATTCAACTTTTCATCATTCTTTAGTACCACACTTTACAATATTAGAGACTTAACATCAAGAAAAATCCTTTTTGCAGTATGTTGAATTTGATCTGCATCTTGAAAAGGCTCAAACATAACAGGATTTTACAACACAGGAATTCTCAAAATGATCTTGTTTTAAAACAAGCCTTTGTTATGTTAAATGACGCACACAGAGGAGTACATATTGAAACAAAAAATACTAGCTCAGCTTTCACAGAATTCTTCTACAAGAAACAGAAGTCAATCACTGAGTTCTGTCAGCAAAATGCCACATTGCAGTGCGTTTGCAGCATTTTCACCTATGTATAAATTCCTTTTTAATTTGTTCATAATTTGTGCACAAAGAATATTGTACATTATTTTTAAGACGTTTGTTTTAAATTACACAGTGGATTATCATTACCCTGTTTCAGGATAAGTCTTAGTTCAGGAATTAAGACAATTTGTTTCACCCATAAAATCCTCTAAATAAGTTAAACCCAGATGTATATGTGGTTCTGACTAACATACTACATAATTGGCAACACCATAATCAGAATCTCTATAAGATTACTTTTCATCTTCCACTTAACAGCATAATTAATAAGATCAGCCCAGTGAAACACAAAAGGAATTCTGCTTGAACAGAACAGAATAACTTTACTTTAGGAATCTGTTCGGCTTGCGCTTATTCCATTTAAAATCTTTTTTTTTACCATCTTAGGACTCACACAGCTGTCAGCCCACTGCGCAGATGTGCAAAACTAACACCATCCGATGTCTCGATTTCTTTTTAGCTACGCAAATTTAACAATTTTCTCAAGCATTCAAATCAAACATTTTAAATTCGAGATAATTGAGCAGAATGTTTAATAAAACAAATGACAAAACTAATACATCTAAAAATCATGGGAAGGTTTCACTGTTACCAAAAGAAATGTTTCAATACTTTATACATTCATATACACAATGACAATTTTTGGTTAGTTGGCATACTAAAATATGCATGGCGGTTTAATTGTTTTAATTTTTGCGTTTTATTTCGCAACAAATTCGGGAAAGTAACATGTCTCCTATGATTTGTGGTTGACATTTTTCGTACTGTTTTTGCTTCCATTGCTTATTACTGTCCGCAGTGAAAAGTGCGCAAGCTTTGCAAGTACGTCTTAGCGGTACTGTGTTCACATGCAGCACGCGGAAAAAAAGCAGGCTGGCATGCCAAGACTTTTCACAGAAACCAGAACCACTTACCACACTGCTCACCATAGCAAGTGCCAGGCATGTTGATTTTCCTGGGAAGATAAATCGCTGTGATCTGAAGCCACTCTTGGCAAAACCAACAGGGCATGCAAGCGCAATAAATGCATGCATGTGTACTGTGTTTTCAGGTCACTTAAGTGATGACAACACTGCGTTCCGAGTTGCAAACAATATACTTCAGCAAACAGGTAATAAAGATGCCAGTGATATTCATGACAGCTCGTCAGAGCTGAAGCAGAGGCAGCCAGTGCAGCCAGATATGGTCATGTTTCTTTGTCACTGTGGCATGCAAACATTCTCATCGGTCCTCATTACCTGCTTCCTTGTCCTCGTCTTTCCTGTTCTGAGTTTGATGTATCTGGCTATCAATTCGTTTCGACCTTTAAAAAAAGACAATTGAAGAAAAAAAATTCTTATTAAAACATGCAGCCATTAAAGGTCATTCTTTGTTAAGATCTTATACTGCGCCCATTTATCAGTCAATATTCATGGATGAGTTTTATCTTTTTATTACAGTTCTCGTCCAATATATTTTTTAAAACAGTGCCTGGTAAAGTGGCTATAAAAATGCTATTTGGCAGGATCTAACTAGCTATGGAAAACCTATTTAGGGCGCATAACCAAACCTCAAACTGTGAAAGAAAATGAGCACCGGTTGAAACACATAATAAAGTGTGTAATATACGTTTAACTATATATACACTTATTTTGTGGTTAGGTTACAGAAGGAACGTGCACAGAGGCCATCACCGAGCTATTTAAATAAGCACACACAAAAAAATTAACCTGGTAGTTCTTTGCAAGGCAGGGTAATACACTAACACATAAAACATTAATAACTAAGTAATAACTTCCAAAATTTCAAATATGCTATAGCACCAAGAATTCCATAGGAAATCTGTTCATTAAATGCTATCACTACTGTATTTTGAAAATGGAATGAAAAACAAGTGATTTTTAATGTAACAGATTATATTAACTCAAGTCTTAGACAGTACGTTACTAATTGCCAGAGGCTGTGCAGAACTGACCTGTAGTGGGCCTCATCATATGTTTATAGCATACCATCACCCCCAAACTATTAGGCAAGTTATAGATAAAGGGTCATTTTGACTGTGCAACCTGCCACAACAGAAGGCTGAACTCATTTGTTATCCTTCACGTAAAGGGCTCATCACAAAACTCAGTTTGAAAAGATTTTCTTTTGAAAAACTAAACTGTGCCTTTTGCACCTTGTCCATCTGGGACAGTGCCTTGTGAGACTGGAGCCAAACCAGAAGAACTGGCTTTCTGACAAGGGATGGACGAACAACCAACAACCAAAACTAATCTTTTTGTCAGAACAGATCACAGAAGGGGACAGGAAAACACCAGATTTGGTCTACATAAAGAACCAAAGTGAGTAAGAGCCACATAAATCCACAAAACCATTTGTACAGCACAAAACATAAGTCTTTAACGAGGTGACCTGTTTGAACATTTTAAGATAACGCTACCACATGTTGAACAGCACAGAATGACCAGGAGGAATCGGGGCAAATTTTTTTCCCCCCAGCCTTGCATTTGATTCAATATTCTATAGACACCACTATTTGCTTGTCATCTATTAAATTAAAATTATCCAAAAACCATATACAAGTTCACAACAATGACACCTGCTCAAATAAAATGTCAGGGCAATTTCAAGCCATCAGTTTCGACTGCCATACTATATCTCAACCAAGGCGGCGAGGCACAGCATTCCACCTGCTTTATTTTGTTCTAACATCCTCATACCAGGTGTGGTAGATGAAAGGCTAATCTCCCTCTCTGTAGTTTAGGAGCACATCTTCAGTTACTCCCATCAGCCACACCTGTTTGGCGGGGAGGCCAAGGAAAGAGAAGCCGTCTGCTTCTGCAGCATGGAGTTTCTCAGACCTTTTCAAATCCTGTTCACCTCCCTGTTGCGCCTTTATCGAAGGCAGCCAATGGCAGCTCCTCCAGAAATTTCAGAAGTGCGCTTTTGTTAAGCCCCGAAATTATAGATGTATGCTTTTACATAAGAGCTATCACGGCCACTTCATGAAATCACAGGAGTCAGCAGTGTCTTTTTCACCCTTGGAGATCAGTCTAACGAAAGAAAAAAAGTTGTCCAAAAACATTAAAATATTTTTTCCCCCTCATTACTATTATTCAAAATCTACTAAAAAAATATTATACAAATGCAAAAGACACTGATCTTTCCAACACAGCTGTTTTATAAGCTTTTTCTAATGAGCATTTTATGTTCTTGGTCATTCGGCTCAGGCTGTGGCTATCAAATAAACCAGCAGTGCAGTGTAATTACATTGCAGTATTCCTTAAAATATTGTAACACAAAACTGCAATACATACAGTTTACCTAATGCATTTTAGTATGCATGCTGTCAAAGGAAAAAAAGACCACATGAAATCAAAGTGTGTACTTTGACCCTACACACACTGGTGCCTCTGCATTTGTAGAAGCACCTTTTGAAAGCTGGATACAACACCAAGACAGGTGTTTTAGTGTTTAGTACAGTCAGTTGCTTAATGACAAGAGCTGTGGAAGGAGGAAGGGCCCTGCTTTCTTAGTGGGTATCGTTTTGTTAAGGCCACACCAACTGCAGGAGATCATGTGACCCCAGCCAAATAAACAGCATCTGGGGATTTTCAATTACAGCCCTTCACCCAGCATGCCTGCACTGTAATCTCTACCAGATGAGGCTAGGGCCTCGCTATTTTCAATAATTCACACACTGTGTACACATAACATGACAATAAGGGCATTCATGCAGACGCCTGATTCGTAGATCAAAGCTCCCAAATGGCCAGCTGTAAGCATGCTTACTGCTGAATAATTCATTCTTTTCACAAGCTTGAAAAAACGCTCAGCAGGACTTGGCAAGCTTGCTTTTTTTCCTGTGTGGTGTGCAAAACAACATTTTGAAAAGGGGGCAACCCACTTTTAAGACTTGCAGCCCCCAAAATAAAGAACCCCCCTTCTTTGCCTTTTTGTTTTGAGAAGGACATTCTCTGCGTCTAATAAACTAATCTACACAATTGGCTTGTTTTGGGGGGGGGGGGGTGTGTGATTACATGGAAGGATAAAAATAATGTTTCCCTTTTCAGACCACATCAATCTAAATGAGCACTTTTACAAATAACAGGCAATTAGAATCAAATTAAAGTTTAATCCACTTCAAATTCTTAAAATCTCACTAAAAGCTTCACACTGTAAATAAATTACAGTTTCACCATGTCTGGGAAACTGAACTTTTTAAAGTTATGAGTTTTTTAAAGTGTTTTGAAGACATTGAGCCCAAGCACTGAACAATAAAGTGCATTCTGAAATACTTTTTAAATTAAGGTTCTTCTAATAACATAGCAGACAGTTAATGAAAAAAAAAAACTTTCTAAAAAATCTTCATTAAAAAAAATTACAAATGTCATTAATTTTCGGTCACCTCCAGTTCTAGGCAAAAGTGAATAGCAGTTCTCCTTTCTTTTCTGACATCTACAAGGATTAAGGATCTATAATTAGACTCAGTACTACCCCTAATGGTAAAGAACTTTGATATAAAAGCCACGCTTAAATACTATTTCTACATGCACACTTTAAATAGCTCAAGTCTGACTCTTATCACACATGCTTATTTAAACTTGGTGGGAGGTACGCAATCTCAAATAGCCAGGAGCTGTTGATCTTGTTCATAAGAACTGTGATCTGCGATAAATTACTGCCCTTCAGACATTTATACTTCTGGTACTGACCTTTTCAATCCCCCCCACTTTTTTTTTTATATGGCCGTCTGTCAACACTTCTATAGCACCTCCTGCTGGGGGAATGTGGGACACTAACAGCTTTGAGGTCCCCCTCCTCCTCGAGGACACCAGAACTGGGGGAGGAAGAATCGCTCAAATCAACTCCTTTCTTGCCGCCAGGCACACCCCTCCCCCACGTCTCAAGAAATCACATGATGCCTTCGCATCCCGGCAGATGACCACCTAGCTGGGAACGCGAGAATGGTGGTTCACAGGCTTTGGAAGCAGTGGGTCATCATTCCAGAGCACTGCCAGATCAATTTTTAACAGTTCACATGTACTTGTGAAGTTTTACTGCAGACAACCAGGCCAATCATTTAAAACCTCCCCTCCTTCCAACCAACATCTCTGCTCCTTAGGTGACTCTAAATAGCACAGCATGGAAAAGCAAGCGACATCCTGTTCTGGAATACCGTCAAGTCTCACTTTATGGCATGGCACTCTTTGCTAGCGTAAGATAGTAACCAACTGCCTAGAGATAATCCACCCGAAACTAGGGACCATAATTCAATTGTCACATTCATTCAAGAAAATCAGAAGCGATTTAGGTTTTTACAAATAAACTTTTGAATCTCCTCTGCCATTTGCATTAGATCTCAGGGGTTTAGAATGAAATCATCATATTAAAATCGCTGGTCTTCTAACACAAATTTGCTCCGTTCTGATAGTTTAGTCTTACTACGGGATGGGCAGGGGAGAAAGTTTGAACTCTTTAAAGAGTATTAAAAGAGTTCTCGCGTTGTCAGTCAAAGCAGCAGGACAAGGATTAGATATTTATGGCCTGACCCCCATAGTAGTCACATGCTGCTCGGCAGCTGTGAGACCATGTATTTCTTCCACTCTTTTCTCTGACATTAAGAATGGCTTCCTCTGAATCTCAATGACCCCAAGAGGTCCTAGAGCATATCAATTGCACTCAAACGGCTGCCTACAAAGAGAAAGCAGCCCGGCTTTCTCGGGATTGTCCCGCGGCAGCTGATTTCTCATTCAATAATAAATCCAATTTAGCAGTTACACAGGCTTTAGAGTGCCCCCTCCACATACATACAAAAAGAGGCCCTAGCTGTACTGCTCCCCTTTCTTCAAGTCTGACAGTTCAGGCAAAGCACTGATACAACCTTAAACGTCACCGTGCGCGCAATCTGGTGGATAAGTTGTGCTTTAACTTTCCCTTAGATATTTCTCCAGTCTCGGCTTTTTGTGCATCAGAAACTATGAAACCACACACTAATTTGTGTTAAAAAGCCCGTGAAATACCTTTGCATACCCATCACTAAGTTGAAAAAAATGCGTTTGTGTTTACAGTCTCCACTTCAAATCATATTTATCACGTGGCACGCTGCCTTTCTGAAAGGAGAGGCTTCTTTAAAAGGCATGCTGTAAAAATACTGCCAGAATTTTGCCGATTCCTGTGCCATCTTCCTTACTGAACAGCACTCCATTAGAAAGAATTTTTGGAAAACAAATTGCCCCAACCGAAAAACTTTTTCCCCCCATCATCAAAATGTTGGCTCTAGTGTTATTCTTTCTAGAAAATCACCACCACTTTAGAAAAATA